CAATAAGGGTGACAGATGAACTGGTCACTCCTGTGGGCTTATAGATGAGGGGATACAGATAGCTGGAGCATATACTAATCAAAAAGTCAGATGTCAGTGAGTGTTTCTAACTTTTATATACAGTTCCTTGCAAAATTATTCATCCCCCTTGGCATTTTACTATTATGTTGCATTACAACCTGTAATTTAAATTGATTTTTATTGGGATTTCATGTAATGGACATACACAAAATTGTCCAAATTGGTCAAGTGAAATGAAAAAAATAACTTGTTTCAAAAAATTCTAAAAAATACATAACGGAAAAGTGTTGTGTGCATATGTATTCACGCCCTTTGCTATGAAGCCCCTAAATAAGATCTGCCGCAACCAAGTACCTTCAGAAGTCACATAATTAGTTTTAAATAAAGTCCACCTGTGTGCAATTTAAGTGTCATATGATCTGTCACATGATCTCAGTATATATACACCTGTTCTGAAAGGCCCCAGAGTCTGCAACACCACTAAGCAAGGGGCACCACCAAGCAAGCGGCACCATGAAGACCAAGGAGCTCTCCAAACAGGTCAGGGACAAAGTTGTGGAGAAGTACAGATCAGGGTTGGGTTATAAAACAATATCCGAAACTTGAACATCCCACGGAGCACCATTATTAAAAAATGGAAAGAATATGGCACCACAACAAACCTGCCAAGAGAAGGCCGCCCACCAAAACTCACAGACCAGGCAAGGAGGGCATTAATCAGAGGCAACAAAGAGACCAAAGATAACCCTGAAGGAGCTACAAAGCTCCACAGTGGGGATTGAAGTATCTGTCCATAGGACCACTTTAAGCCGTTCACTCCACAGAGCTGGGCTTTACAGAAGAGTGGCCAGAAAAAAGCCATTGCTTAAAGAAAAAAATAAGCAAACACGTTTGGTGTTCGCCAAAAGGCATGTGGGAGACTCCCCAAACAAATGGAAGAATGTACTCTGGTCAGATGAAACTAAAATTGAGCTTTTTGGCCATCAAGGAAAACGTTATGTCTGGCGCAAACCCAACACCTCTCATCACCCCGAGAACACCATCCCCACAGTGAAGCACTGTGGTGGCAGCATCATGCTGTGGGGATGTTTTTCATTGGCAGGGACTGAGAAACTGGACAGAATTGAAGGAATGATGGATGGCGCTAAATACAGGGAAATTCTTGAGGGAAACCTGTTTCAGTCTTCCAGAGATTTGAGACTGGGACAGAGGTTCACCTTCCAGCAGGACAATGACCCTAAGCATACTGCTTGTTTGTTTCACAATAAAAAATATTTTGCATCTTCAAAGTGGTAGGCATGTTGTGTAAATCAAATGATACAAACCCCCCAAAAGTCTATTTTAATTCCAGGTTGTAAGGCAACAAAACAGGAAAAATGCTAAGGGGGGTGAATATTTTCGCAAGCCACTGTAAATTAACAGTGCATTCAGAAAGTATTCAGAACCTTTTACTTTTTCCACATTTTGTTATGTTACAGCTTTATTCTAAAATTGATTCAATTGTTTTTTCCCATCATCAATCTACGCACAATACCCCATAATGACAAAGCAAAAACAGGCTTTTATCCGAAGTAGGTGAGTAAAAAAAACGGAAATATGACATTTACATAAGTATTCAGACCTTTTACTCAGTACTTTGTTGAAGCACCTATGGCAGCGATTACCGTCTCGAGTCTTCCTGGGTATGACGCTACAAGCTTGGCACACCTGTATTTGGGGAGTTTCTCACATTCTTCTCTGCAGATCCTCTCAAGCTCTGTCAGGTTGGATGGGGAGTCGTCGCTGCACAGCTATTTTCAGGTCTCTCCTGAGATGTTCGACCGGGTTCAAGTCCAGGCTCTGGCTCAAGGACATTCAGAGACTTGTCCCGAAGCCACTCCTGCGTTGTCTTGGCTGTGTGCTTAGGGTCATTGTCCTGTTGGAAGGTGAACCTTCACCCAAGTCTGAGGTCCTGAGTGCTCTGGAGAAGGTTTTAATCAAGGATCTCTCTGTACTTTGCTCCGTTCATCTTTCCCTCGATCCTGACTAGTCTCCCAGTCCCTGCCACTGAAAAACATCCCCACAGCATGATGCTGTCACCACCATGCTTCACCGTAGGGATGCTGCCAGGTTTCCTCCAGATGTGACGTTTGGCATTCAGGCCAAATAATTAAATATTGGTTTCATCAGACCAGAGAATCTTGTTTCTCATGGTCTGAGAGACTTTAGGTGCCTTTCGGCAAACTCCAAGCGGCCTGTCATGTGCCTTTTACTGAGGAGTGGCTTCTGTCTGGCCACTCTACCATAAAGGCCTGATTGGTGGAGTGCTTCAGAGATGGTTGTCCTTCTGGAAGGTTCCCCCATCTCCAAAGAGGAACTCTGGAGCTCTGTCAGTGACCATCGGGTTCTTGGTCACCTCCCTGACCATGGCCCTTCTCCCCCGATTGCTCAGTTTGGCCAATCAAGTTGTAGAAACATTTTAAGGATGATCAATGGAAACAGGTTGCACCTGAGCTCAATTTCAAGTCTCATTGCAAAGGGTCTGAATACATATGTAAATAAAGTATTTACGTTTTTTATTTTTAATACGTTTGCAAAAAAATCTAAAAACCTGTTTTCACTTTGTCATTATGGGGTATTGATGAGAAAATGTTTTTTTTTAATTATTTTTAGAATAAGGCTGTAACGTTACAAAATGTGGAAAAAGTAAAGGGTTCTGAAAACCATGAGTTTAGGGTCCAGTTTGAGTTGATCTGCCAGGAGTTTCTTGGCCTTGACTTCTGTGTCATGCCAAGTTTCAGTCTTTACGTCCTCAATTCCATTGATTAAAATGTAATTGCACCTCGATTGATTTTCAAGCTAGTCTCCTTTGGAAGAGTGCTTGTCAAGTGATATTTGGAAAATTTCAAAATCCTCAGACATGGTTTTGAATGCAGTCTGGCTTGTGACATTCGCGCCCTTTAGCTCCCCCACCTCTGACTGCATAAATTCCAAACTGTGCTTAAATTCCATTACATCCTTAAACAGATCATCAACCCTTTTGTTGGTATAATCCATAAAGAGTTACAGGAAGGACTTAAAGTTATTTTCCTGCAGATCTATTCAATCTTTATATAACTATTTTTCTTGATCGAGTAGTTCATGGAGTGTAGTGCTTGATACGTATTCCTCTTCCGCATTGAGCTTTGCTGTGTTTTTCTGTCTAGTATTAGCCATGCTACAAGCTTAATGTGAGCTAAAATGAGTTTGCAAACACAACCCACACCCCGCCTCCCGAAAACAAGCTCCGCCAGGGAAATGGCAAACACATGCAACACAGACTTGATCAAACATGCACCAGTACGATAAACAGAGAGAAGGCGGAGAACTTACTCACTGTATGGATCCTGGCTGCACTTTACTAAATGAGAGGGAGATCACCAACTCGCAAGTTAGTGCTGTGGATACAAGCAGTATGCGGGGCAGTAAGCCAAAATACCGGTCGAAGATGCTTGGGAGAGACAGTGGTAGGAGCATTCGCGTGAACGAGTAGCGTTGCGAATGCCATTATAGCAGAGAAGAAGAAGAAGGTGCCAGCCGAGTGACTACCGACGATTTGAGAGCATGGAGGGGCCAGAGATAGCTAGACTAGTACATTGGGCTAAGGAACAGAAGCTGGGTATTGGAGAAAGGCCATCAGTGCATGTTCTGTAAACAATACAGCGGATGAAGGTGCGGCATGAGCGTGGTGAACGGATAGACGTGGTTATGGACAGCGAGGAAGAAGGAGAAGAGCTGAGTGCAGAGGGAAGATGTGTCTTGAGGAAGAATGGAGCCAAGTACTATAAACCGTACTCTGCTGTCTCTGATGGCTCAGAAATTGAAGCTGATCAAGAGTGAGGATGAATTACTTGCGGTGGCAGGTGTGGTGAAGACCTCAGAGTTCGAGCCTCACCCTGATGGTTATGCAAAGGATGATTCTGGCCCAGTAGGAGTGACATTTTTTGAGAAAGTGGATCCTTGCCTTTTGGCTGACCCATATGTAGTCTCAAGCTGTGTAAAAAAAACTGGGAACTGTTAAATTGGTGAAGGTAGCTCGAAGTGGACTTCTGATGATTTTCTGTGTTTCTTCCACCCAGAGGGAGCGGGCACTTCGTGTCACGCGCCTGGGGACAAGACCTGTGACATGCTTTGCTCTTCGGAGCAGTGAGCCTTTGAAAGGAGTGATTACTGGGGTGGTGTTAAGTGATGGTGGCACAACTGAAATTGAAGATTCCCTGTGTCCGAGATGTAAGAAGTGTGCAGGAGGGCATGGGACAAAGGAATGTGTAGTATCGGTGGAAAAAACTGTGTGTGTCAATTGTGGGGATGCCCATGTTGCTGGGGATCAGAAGTGCCCGGTGCAAGAAAGACAGGTTGAGGTTGCCAGGGTCAGAGTAGAACAGAAGGTGTCGTATGCTGAGGCAGTGAAGAGAGTAGAGGATGATGGGTCAAGGGTGAGTAGTAGGCCTCGGCCAATACAGAGTGATACGAATTTGTGCTTCAGTAAGGTTAGCATTCATTGACATGTTTATCAACTGCACCGCAGATATGGAACGTAAATCAAAGAAAATAGATGTTGTGGTGGCAGCTGCAGGGAAGTAGATGTTGTGGTGGCAGCTGCAGAGAAGCACTTTGGTGTACAACTCTTTCGTTCAACACACCTTCTAACTCTTCTGCAGTAAAACCTAGTACACCCATGTACTTCTCTGCCAGCTGCCACCATCTATTTTCTGTGATTTACATTCCATATCTGCGGTACAATTGATAACCATGGCAATCAGAAAAGGCTCAAAGTAGTGGTATGGGGTAGTGTTTGCTCTTAGAAAAAAAATATATTAGTGGTGTATAGGTGTAGGGTTAGTTGGTGGTGCAATTTATTCCTTTCCCCGTTACTTACTTTTTTTTTATCACAAAATGTAACGTGATCGACCACACACTCCTGCACAGTAGGTGGCGACATGCACAAACAAATGTGCGAACGCCATCATGATACCAAAGAAAATCTAAGCAGGTGCTTATCTGGGACGCCTTGTCAGATGTTCACCATCAGAACAAAATTATTAGCGCGTCAGATGCATTTACGACTGCACAGACGTTTAAACCATTTTGGTTAGATTTATACTATCTTGATCGTGATACTAAAAGTAACCTGATCTATAGCTTACACTGTACACCGTCTTTCGCTCAGTAGCTATCTCGAAATCGCCATTTTAACTTCTGGTTGTGCCTGGGGCGGTTGGTGCGAGACCAGTGTCAAGTAGCTGCTAACTATTAGCTAACCTCTGGGTAGCTCACTATTTTAGACGTTGACCCAGTACAACAAGCTTTCAAAATAGCATGCTAGCTGTCTAACAAGCATAGCTACATGCTTCGTAGTTCATGGTAGCTAGCCTGTTTCAAATTGCGAAGTTAGCTCGTTAAGTTTAGCCAGGTAGCTAGATAGCCAGGCTACTAGCTAGTTGGCTAACAACAAGCCAATCAGATAATCAACTGTAGCTATTAGTAGTACTGGCTAGCTACCTAGAATACTTTATTTACAACAACCAAACTGGACAAAACGTTGGATTTGGTTGGGTTTAAGTCGGGCTCAGCGGGTTCGCTGACCCCACAAAAGAAGATGAAAAAGAGGAAGGAACTCAATGCATTGATCGGACTTGGGGACAGTAAAAGGAAGAAAACCAAAAAGGGGTCCGGTCACAGGCTCCTCCGAACCGAACCTCCACTAGACTCCGAATCCGAATCAAGCTCAGATGATGATGATGAATTCAGCACAGTCGCTGCTTTTGGAAAGTAAGTGATCGATCTAGCTACTTAGCCTCAGTAAACCTGTACTGTATTCCCTGCTGACACAATGTCTATTCCAAATATGTGACTGACTGCCTCGATTCGGTCTTATGTAGCAACATTTGTTTATATGTTTACATAGCATAAAAGTAGCGACTCGGAGCTACAACGTGGTATATCATACACTGCAGTTGGGGAACAATGGGAAAGTAATTCCGCTTTGAAAGTTGATAAACTTGTAACCCCACTTATGAGAAAATGGCCCTTGAATGTTTTGGTACACCTACTAGAGAGCTCTGCTTTGACTACACCTATTCAGCATGTTCACACCCTCTTAAGCCTTAGCCCCACCCATCTCTTTAACATTAACATTTACATCATTTAGCAGACGCTCTTATCCAGAGCGACTTACAAATTGGTGCATTCAACCTATGATAGCAAGTGGGACAACCACTTTTTTTTTTGTGGGGGAGGGGGGGTAGAAGGATTGCTTTATACTATTCCAGGTATTCCTTAAAGAGGTAGGGTTTCAAGTGTCTCCGGAAGGTGGTCAGTGACTCCGCTGTCCTGGCGTCGTGGGGGAGCTTGTTCCACCATTGGGGTGCCAGAGCAGCAAATAGCTTTGAGCGGGAACTGTGCTTCTGTAGAGGTAGGGGAGCTAGCAGGCCAGAGGTGGATGAACGTAGTGCCCTCGTTTGGGTGTAGGGTCTGATCAGAGCCTGAAGATAAGGAGGTGCCGTTCCCCTCACAGCTCCGTAGGCAAGCACCATGGTCTTGTAGTAGATGCGAGCCTCAACTGGAAGCCAGTGGAGTGTGCGGAGGAGCGGGGTGACATGAGAGAACTTGGGAAGGTCGAACACCAGACGAACACTAGACGGGCTGCGGCGTTCTGGATAAGTTGTAGGGGTTTAATGGCACAGGCAGGGAGCCCAGCCAACAGCGAGTTGCAGTAATCCAGACGGGAGATGACAAGTGCCTGGATTAGGACCTGTGCCGCTTTCTGTGTAAGGTAGGGTCGTACTCTGCGAATGTTGTAGAGCATGAACCTGCAGGATCGGGTCACCGCTTTGATGTTAGCAGAGAACGACAGGGTGTTGTCCAGGGTCACGCCAAGGCTCTTTGCACTCTGGGAGGAGGACACAATGGAGTTGTCAACCGTGATGGCGAGATCATGGAGCGGGCAGTCCTTCCCAGGGAGGAAGAGCAGCTCCGTCTTGCCGAGGTTCAGCTTGAGGTGGTGATCTGACATCCACACTGACATGTCTGCCAGACATGCAGAGATGCGATTCGCCACCTGGTTATCAGAAAATGAATTGTGTGTCGTCTGCGTAGCAATGATAGGAGAGACCATGTGAGGATATGACAGAGCCAAGTGACTTGGTGTATAGAGAGAATAGGAGAGGGCCTAGAACTGAGCCCTGGGGGACACCAGTGGTGAGAGCACGTGGTGCGGAGACAGATTCTCGCCACGCCACCTGGTAGGAGCGACCTGTCAGGTAGGACGCAATCCAAGAGTGAGCAGCGCCGGAGATGCCCAACTCGGAGAGGGTGGAGAGGAGGATCTGATGGTTCACAGTATCAAAGGCAGCGGATAGGTCTAGAAGGATAAGAGCAGAGGAGAGAGAGTTAGCTTTAGCAGTGCGGAGAGCCTCCGTGACACAGAGAAGAGCAGTCTCAGTTGAATGACCAGTCTTGAAACCTGATTGGTTTGGATCAAGAAGGTCATTCTGAGAGAGATAGCAGGAGAGTTGGCTAGAGACGGCACGCTCGAGTTTTGGAGAGAAATGATAGAAGGGATACTGGTCTGTAGCTGTTGACATCGGAGGGATCGAGTGTAGGTTTTTTGAGAAGGGGTGCAACTCTCGCTCTCTTGAAGACGGAAGGGACATGGCCAGCGGTCAAGGATGAGTTGATGAGCGAGGTGAGGTAAGGGAGGTCTCCGGAAATGGTCTGGAGAAGAGAGGAGGGGATAGGGTCAAGCGGGTCGAGTCGGAAGATTTCATCTGGAGAGAGAGGGGAGAAAGAAGTCAAAGCATAGGGTAGGGCAGTGTGAGCAGGACCACCGGTGTCATTTGACTTAATAAATGAGGATCGGATGTCGTCAACCTTCATTGATGAAGTCCTCCACGAGGAGGGAGGAGGAGGAGGATTCAGCAGGGAGGAGAAGGTGGCAAAGAGCTTCCTAGGGTTAGAGGCAGAGGCTTGAAATTTAGAGTGGTATAAAGTGGCTTTAGCAGCGGAAACAGAGGAAGAGAATGTAGAGAGGAGGGAGTGAAAATACGACAGGTCTAGTTTTCCTCCATTTCCGCTCGGCTGCCTGGAGCCCTCTTCTGTGAGCTCGCAATGAGTCGTCAAGCCACGGAGCAGGAGGGGAGGACCGAGCCGGCCGGGAGGATAGGGGACATAGAGAGTCAAAAGATGCAGAAAGGGAGGAGAGGAGGGTTGAGGAGGCAGAATCAGGAGATCGGAGGGAGAAGGATTTAGCAGAGGGAAGAGATGATAGGATGGAAGAGGAGAGAGTAGCGGGAGAGAGAGAGCGAAGGTTGCGACGGCACATTACCATCTGAGTAGGGGCAGAGTGAGTAGTGTTGGAGGAGAGCGAGAGAGAAAAGGATACAAAGTAGTGGTCGGAGACTTGGAGGGGAGTTGCAGTGAGATTAGTAGAAGAACAGCATCTAGTAAAGATGAGGTCAAGCGTATTGCCTGCATTGTGAGTAGGGGTGGACGGTGAGAGGGTGAGGTCAAAAGAGGAAAGGAGTGGAAAGAAGGAGGCAGAGAGAAATGAGTCAAAGGCAGACGTAGGGAGGTTAAAGTCACCCAGAACTGTGAGGGGTGAGCCATCCTCAGGAAAGGAACTTATCAAGGCGTCAAGATCATTGATGAACTCTAACTTTAAGGATTCACATGTGAGGCCATGTGCTAAATAGATGGAGTAAGGTAGTGTAAACAACCGAAGATTTCAAGACTAAAAGTGGTGAAAGTAGTAGCCTACAATAAGGAACAACTCCTGGTAAAAATACACTATCTAGTCCAATATCCTAATCTGACTTTGGTGCAGGTCATGTTGTTCTTCACATTAACGCCATAAACACACTATCAAATAAAATCTAAGTTTATTTGTCACATGCACAGGATACAGAAGTTAAGGTGTAAACAGTACAGTGAAATTGTTATTTGCATAGTAGCAATATCAAAAATAGAAATTGTCCAGATAAAAATATTGTATCATTATTAGATTATGCTTACCCAGACACTAGGGGTGTGCCGAGTAGTCGGACAAAACTAGTATCGTAACGAATGTGGGCAATTTTCTGGATACGATTATGATCAGAGTATTTTTTGTAATTATCTATGATCGGGGAAAAACATTAAAATGGGTGCCAGCAAGCATGTTTCTCGTGTCAGTCCAGTAAACCATACTGTACTGTCTGAGTCAGTCATGTGCGTGGTCGAAATAACTCAACTGGTTAGTTTGCCTGTCTGTAAAGAGAAGGGGTGGCTGTACGTTGATCCTGCTGCTCCGATTGGATAGAGTGTAGCTGTATTTGTCCTGGCCACTCGCTTCATAATTTCACCCAATCACTTTTCCTCGCTTGTTTTCGGTCTTATCATTTAGATTGCTGCTGCCTGTTACTATGATAAATCACATTGCGAGAACGTTTGCTATCAAGCTGTCAATGTGCATAATATCTAACAAGTGTGGCAAGGGTAGGGAAAAAAGATAACTCTAATGCGCATTCTGACTGAGTGACAGTAAACCTGGCTGCCCGCTGCAAATTGAGGACACACACACCCATCCACGCGCTGCTCCTAATCTGTAACCTTTTTGCAGTGAGCATGCAGGGAGGTATTTTGCCAACATCTATTTACGCATATTAAAACACTTCAGTTTTTTCCAATCACGACTACCATCTTATCCGACTATCAACTGTCAATTTACGGACATGATTATGAAAATGGCCATGTCGGCACACCCCTACCAGACACACTTGTCTAAATTGATGGGTAATGTGAAGGAAATTCTATAACCAACCCCCAGCCACATCTAGCTAAGTGGATGGTTCACTTTTGTCTAGACATGTACACATGTTCATGAAATACAATAATGGCCGTAATCACCCCCAGACACACCTGGTTAACTTGATGGGTCATGTAATCATCTGGCGAAGTGGAGTCTTTTGTTTAGACATGTAGCTAGCTAGCTAAACAATTAACCATAATCACAACCCATACTGCTAGCAATACAAACTGATTTTCATAGCTAGCCACATGAAATGCTGTAGTATGAATCTGCAGGTTGCTAAAGCTAACCAACTAGGTTTAATGTTAGCTAGCTAGCTAACATTAGGCTATAACTAGCAATGCAAATGGATTTCTGAGATACAAATAATATTACTACACAGACCATACATGTAACATTAGCTAGCGAGCAAGGAGGCTACCTAACATTCCCTAGTTAGCTAACTGTACATTTTAACTTGCAATGAAAAAAATGTTCTGATAAAATTAGAAACGTATAATATCTGAAAATGTAACTAAACTCTTAACCGTATACAAGGATGAACGCTCCACGGCAGTGTGTCTTTCAGTTTTCAGTTAGCTACAGCTTGTTTGGCCTGTTGTGTCAAGTCACTCCGGTTCACACTGACCATGTGCAGAAAGTAGTCCATCACAACTTTTCCCCGCTGATCTTTGTCGATAGCGCCTGCTAAATTCTGGGCAGCAATGTTGTTTAGCAGTAGCAACACTTTTGCAGTTCTCCATGGCTAACGTTATATCTTTCAAAAGAGCCACAGTGGCAACGATTATCTACACATACTGAGCAGCTCATGTTATAGACAGAAGCGTGCTACGTGGCAGACCAATCTGAACTAATCGCTCGGCAAGTCCAGCCCATCCATTATCTCAGCTAATCATGGCTAGCGGGAAGGTTCCCGTCTTTTTCCGTGGCTAAACCAACTAGGCTCATAATTGTCATGTTTTATTCGTATTAACAGATGGCATACAAGTTTGTTATTAAAACACATGAAAGTTAACATGTTCCTTAAGGCATTTTTGCCTAAAAACACATTTAGTTCAAATGCCTCTCCTGAAGTAGTGACGTGCGACATACGCCTTGCTTCTTGAAACGGGTCACATATCTCTATCAATGATGCATGAAGCACTCCTTGATCATGACTCTTAGTTACATTTACATTACACAAGTCATTGGACGTAGGCTTCTTCTGTACGGGGAAGTTTTGTTAAGAGCCCTGATGCTCGGTCTGAACATTAACACGTATTGCTTGCGGAACTTATTTTTCATATCAGTGAGAAATAATCAAACAAATGTTTAAAAAGGCTAAATTGATACACACCTTTTTATAGGGCTATGGTTCCCACATGCACATGTTACAGCGCTTGTTTACGGAAAACAGACGGAGGGCAGAGTGGACTATGCTCGATGTCCACCATATGCGTTTTCTTTTGGCGGTTGTGCGTTGCATTACCATGCGGTGGTACAAACGGAAGTTCGTAAAAGTTCCCATGGGGTGGCACCATACAGAGGCCAAATGTATGATGACTATTGTGTAGTTAGAGACGAGAAGATACCGGCTGAACGACTGGAAATGTGTCTCCGGTAAGAATGACACTAGGACAATTCATCATTACTACACAGTTTTCACGAAACCAGCCAACAGAATGGCGTGCAAAATTAATACGCACAAAACTGTTCTGTGTGTAATTTAGCAAGCTAGTGATTTGAAATCCGTACTCTATATGGGAATAACCAGTTCAATGTATTGATGTTGCTTGAGATGGGTGACAGAAGAATAGAAACAAACTAGATGAATTGTTGTAATGCGCCCTTGTGCGCACCAGTCTGTTGGTAGTTCTGCCGGTCTATGAAACCAATAGGTCAATAGGAGAATAACTTTAATCTGTTCTAATTATTAGCTTTGGTCGAAGAGGGTGAAAATGATCTTCTCCATGCGGCAAACCGTTCTGCAGTCTTGCGAAGCAAAAATGCAGGCTAGACATCTGGCAAAAACAGCATACGGAAAAACGCATGCGCATCTGGTAGACATGGCATAGTGCGGCACCCCCAATGTAGCGTTGGCGGATTGCTCCATTGACAATGCATGACTTCCGTCGGAATTCAAAGAGTTTGATTTATCTGGTGGACATGAGGCATATACTGTGCTAATTAGCTATCTGCGTCTTCGAGTGGAAGACAGACACCACAAACATGTTGTCACTGCAAAATACTGTCGGCTGCAACTGTGTTAAAACAGTGTACAGTAAGTGTGTATTTTGCATTTGTGAAATTATTTAATGTGATATGAAATTAGAGGGATTTATGTTTCTAGAACCGTATCAGAATTGAGAATCCATTCACGTTTAGATGGAGTATTTGGCTGTTTTGGCTGATGGAGCCAATTCACCTCTGAACAGAACGTGTAAGGTCCTTGGACTATAAGGAGTAACGTTAGGCCCCTTTGGTTCATTATTGGCCTATGATGCATAAAGCTTGTGAATATAAAATATTAATACAAACTCTGTTTCTCATTCATCATAGAAGAAGTTATGTGCGGTGCTGCAATGTCTGCTATCCCTTGTTCCTGTTCATCATACTGGCTGCCTGTGTTATGGCTTGTGCCGGACTGATATGGATGCAGATTGCCCTGAAAGAAGATCTAGACTCCCTCAAAGAAAAGCTGCATACAAGTAAGCCATCAGACAAACCGCAACCTGTCATCTATCCCCTGTCAACCTTTAGAAAAGGCCTTCAGGTTCAAGCATACATTCAGCCACAAGAGTACACACTATCCCACTTTACTTTGCAATAAATAGTAGGCTAATCTTTGCACATCCATTGCTTATGGCTGAGTTGTACAATCATACAGCCCAGTGACTACAGTTTTAGTACGTTGTATGCTTATTCATGTATCTTATCTCTACAGTGGAATCCGGCCAGAAGGTGTCATCACATGAAATACCAAAACTAAGTGAAGATCTGAAGACAAAGCAGAGAAAGCTGGAGGATATTGAAAGTGGAGACAAGGGTCTGAACAAACTGTGGTCCAACCTTACAGAGATTAACAGAAAGGTAAAGTGTTAAAGGGAAAGTGATGTTATCTGTGGAACTATCTTGTTTTGTCATCTGTCCAGTTGTTATGAAACCTCACCATGGCAGGTTAAATCAAGGTTATGATTGTAGAGTGAAAGGGAAGTATGTTTGCCAAGTGTAATTGAATGTTCTGTGTTCTGGAATGCTTCTCTCCCATTAGATCAGTTTTCTGGACACTGTAGTGAACCATCTAAAGGCCAACATCAAATCAGCCTCAGACTTAATCAACTTTCCAACTACAGTTGAAGAGCTCCAAAAAGTAGGTCTAAACTTTAATCACTTCTGTGAGATATACAGAATGCAAGCATTTGAAGCATTTGAAGCATAATTGAGACACAAAAGAGAGACAAGTAAGGTTTCTCAAATGTATATTCAGAAGTATTTGCCATGTTTGTTTGCAATTATTGCCATCAATATTGCCCAGTATTCACCCACAGTCTCTATTGGGTTGTCAAATTGCCATAAAAAAAAATGTATGCATCTGGAAAGTAAGGCTTCAATGTTTTCATTTGCAGAGTGTGGCTACAATCGGCAGCACTTTAACCAGTGTGCAGCATGATGTCAAGACAATGCAGACAGCCCTTGAGGACCAGAAGAAAGAAACAGACAATCTAAAGAAGATCATGGTAAAAAACATAGAAATACTAGCTTTACATTTACATTTACATTTTAGTCATTTAGCAGACGCTCTTATCCAGAGCGACTTACAAATTGGTGCATTCACCTTATGATAGCCAGTGGGACAACCACTTTACAATATTTGTTTTTGTTTTTTTGGGGGGTGGGGTAAGGGGGGTAGAAGGATTACTTTATCCTATCCCAGGTATTCCTTAAAGAGGTGGGGTTAAGTGTCTCCGGAAGGTGGTGAGTGACTCCGCTGTCCTGGCTTGTTCCACCATTGGGGTGCCAGAGCAGCGAACAGTTTTGACTGGGCTGAGCGGGAACTGTGCTTCCGCAGAGGTAGGGGGGCCAGCAGGCCAGAGGTGGATGAACGCAATGCCCTCGTTTGGGTGTAGGGACTGATCAGAGCCTGAAGGTACGGAGGTGCCGTTCCCCTCACAGCTCTGTAGGCAAGCACCATGGTCTTGTAGCAGATGCGAGCTTCAACTGGAAGCAAGTGGAGTGTGCGGAGGAGCGGGGTGACGTGAGAGAACTTGGGAAGGTTGAACACCAGACTGGCTGCGGCATTCTGGATGAGTTGTAGGGCTTTAATGGCACAGGCAGGGAGCCCAGCCAACAGCGAGTTGCAGTAATCCAGACGGGAGATGACAAGTGCCTGGATTAGGACCTGTGCCGCTTCCTGTGTAAGGCAGGGTTGTACTCTGCGAATGTTGTAGAGCATGAACCTACAGGATCGGGTCACCGCCTTGATGTTAGCGGAGAACGACAGGGTGTTGTCCAGGGTCACGCCAAGGCTCTTTGCACTCTGGGAGGAGGACACTTTCTTTACACTCAACTCTTTTCAGCTTGATCCTATGCCTGCCTTTAATTAATCTGAGCCAGTTAGCAGTACCTGTGTCCAAATGCATGAGCTGCAGAATGATCTAGATGACAGATTATACAACATCTAGACCAATAGAAAGAAGTAACTGAGGTCAGTACACTAATCTATCATTGAACTAGCTACAGTTTTTTTTTTTTTTTTTTTTTGCTTCCAGAACTAGCAATTCTGCCCACAGATTTATTGTGCACCTTTTGAATGTTTTAGCAGATTATAGGTGAAATAAACATGGGTCCCTATGTATAATATGTAACATGGATGGGATTATGTGTGCGTGCGTCATCCACATTACATGAAACAATCTAACAGTATCCGCACAAGTGCTGATCCCTTTTTTGGCATATAAAACAGGCCAGCCTGCAAAGTGAATCTGGGTCAGTTTCTGTCAGATCAACTAAAGACTTGCTGTTTTATTCTCTTTGGGCAAAATAGAATGCTGAGGCTAAAGAATCAAATGTGAAATCGACAGCCTCATTTGAAAAAGAAACAAGCAACTGCTCATCAACATTAGCTCAAAACCAGGTACTGGTACACTACTCTTACTGTTGATAAATTCCATTCTCATACCCTTTCAAAGCATTCCATTTATGAAGGATGGAATACTGAATATTTGATATGGAATCTTTATATGGATTTATTTTCTCACACAAAAGTACTTTGTTGGGTTTAAATAGAGGGTGGTTCATTTCATGTGATTTAAATTTTTCGATAAATCAGGAATTCATAAAGTCAGTTTCTTACATCTGTATCTAATCAAAATGGACTGGTGGTAGCCTCTCACCCATTATGATATATATATATATATATATATATATATGCTGTGCTGATCAATTCCTTGATCAAATATTCCTTTTTCACACATGTCCATCAATCAGATGAAGAAATAATATATATTTGTTTATTCGTGTTGTATTCTTACAGGACGTAACTCACCTGAGAGAGGTTGTGAGCGAGGTTAACAAGACGCAAGAGCTGTACCACTCCTGGACCGGTGACCAGATCCAGAGTCTCCAAAACGCTGTGTCCAACCTCACTCAGAGGGTGTTTCCTATGGAGCAGGGCTCTCCCCAGACAACACCACACAGAGTGAGTAATCAGATGGATGGTGTAATGGGAATAGTTACGATTAATAAAGTTCATATTCAGTCATTAACACTTCAAAAATGTATTCAACATGAAAAATATTTATATGAATATCTCAAAAGTACCCTTTTTGGTTTAGCTTATTTTTTTTAAATGTATTGTTTGGAACAATATACTCTTCGAATATGTCACGTTTTCAGAGTGGGTGCTCTGCAACTTTTGAAGATGTGGCCCATTTGATACATGACGAGTTTATTTCTAAAACGCTATATCCACACATTTTTCACATTTGTGTTTTTTGACCAGAAATGATTGCTTATGTTTACCTTCATGTAGGTGTAAAATATTACTGTTTTCTGATATTTCATTCATAGATTTTAGGTGTGTATTACAATATTATTTTGCAAAATGCTATATATCCATTGTTTAGCTGGAATATAAATTTTGTATATTTGATTGATATGTGGTTGTCTCACCTAGCTATCTTAAGATGAATGCACAAACTAAGTCGCTTTGGATAAGAGCATCTGCTAAATGACTAAAATTCCTCATATTACTGTATTGATGATAATAATAAAACATTTCTAATAATATTGATGTCAAATGTATCATTTGTACAGTTCTTTATTAAAGGTGTAGTTATTTGTTACATTTGACTGTAAAACCTAGCAGTACTACTTATTTATCTGAAAATGAGGTGGATATATATAGTGTTTTGCAAAAAATAAAAATGAATATTTGTCTCTGAAATGAAACTATGAAGTGATAGATTTCAAACAAATACATGTCTGTCATTGAGCAACCCCATGCCATGATTAGATAGTAAAAACATTTCTGAACATGGATATATAGCGTTTTGGAAAGAAACTCTTCACATAGAAATTGACATTATAGGTCATTAAACATTCAACAAATCACCAGCAGAGGGAGTTCTCTTTGAATCCATTTTCCCATTCACTGTGGTGGTGCTCATAAATGTATCATAACTTCAGAAGTACTGTAACAGAGCACCCACTCTGGAAATGTGATGTACTTGTGGAGTATTTTTTACTACAATATGTCAAAAAATTTACAAAATCATAAAGGGTAATTTTGAGATATTAATATACATTTTTATTTCAGAATCTAGACATACTCTATATTTTAATGACACCAAGATGTCTGTATCATGTACGGTTCACGGATCATAGGGTCTTATAGGAGGCATGTATAGGTATTAAAAGGGGCCTAAAATGGCCACTTTCATCATGGTTCTCTCAAATAGTTTGTGATACAAATGTAAAAAGCATATCAAACCGCCTTCCTCCCAATGTGAGACTTGCCACAACACTCTGAGATGGCTAAAATATTTTTGGGCCTTCCTGCTGTGGAATCGCCCCAAATCGTTTGATATTTATTGACAGAGTTACTGAAGGTACAATGGACCGAGGACACACTGATTATTATTGTATTGATGACATTATGAACACTGATTCTGTAGCAGCTGGCAAAGTCATTGTCTTTTGTTTTGACTTTGTACATGGTACAAGCCTCTCAGGCTGAGGTTTAGAGGACATTTGTCACTTTCTGATTAGAATATAAAGGCCCGTTAGACATTTTCTCTGGTTCTGTTCGCGAGGTGTCTCCCTGTTGCAACTTGTAATAAACCTGATTTTATTTCTGATTGAGTTTATCAATGATTACTCTCCTTTTGGTTCACCTGGAAATTCCCGTTACAGATGGTTCAGATTATATAGTCACGTAATGGCACACAGACCGATGAGATGTAGCAAGAGCTGCTTGACGCTCAGTGGCTTTTTGCCCAGATGATAAGTACTGTTCTTACTGCACTGGAGTTGAGATGCATTTCAAATTGGGCCGTTCATGATTTATAGTTGTGCTCGCATGTATTACAATACCGTCAATTATGCTATGATCACTTAATTGTAAAAAAATATATACAGTGCATTTGGAAAGTATTCAGACCCCTTTACTTTTTCCACATTTTGTTACGTTACAGCCTTATTCTAAAATGGATTCAATTGTTTTTCACCCTCAATCTACACACAATACCCCATAATGACAAAGCAAAAATAGTTATTTAGACATTTTAGCGAATGTATAAAATAAAAATTAAACGGAAATATCACATTTACATAAGTATTCAGACCCTTTACTGAGTACTTTGTTGAAGCACCTTTGGCAGCGATTACAGCTTCGAGTCTTCTTGGGTATGACGCTACATGCTTGGCACACCTGTATTTGGGGAGTTTCTCAAATTCTTCTCTGCAGATCCTTTCAAGCTCTGTCAGGTTGGATGGGGAGCGTCGCTGCACAGCTATTTTCAGGTCTCTCCAGAGATATTCGATCGGGTTCAAGTCCGGGCTCTGGCTGGGCCACTCAAGGACATTCAGTGACGTGTCCCAAAGCCACTCCTGCGATGTCTTGGCTGTGTGCTTAGGGTCGTTGTCCTGTTGGAAGGTGAACCTTCGCCCCAGTCTGAGGTCCTGAGCACTCTGAAGCATCTCTCTGTATTTGCTCCGTTCATCTTTCCCTCGATCCTGACTAGTCTCCCAGTCCCTGCCGCTGAAAAACATCCCCACAGCATGATGCTGCCGCCACCATGCTTCACGGTAAGGATTGTGCCAGGTTTCCTCCAGACGTGACGCTTGGCATTCAGGTCAACGAGTTCAATCTTGGTTTCATCAGACCAGAGAATCTTGTTTCTCATGGTCTGAGAGTCCTTTAGGTGCCTTTTGGCAAACTCCAAGCGGGCTGTCATGTGCCTTTTACTGAGGAGTGGCTTCCGTCTGGCCACTCTCACATAAAGGCCTGATTGGTGGAGTCCTGCAGAGATGGTTGTCCTTCTAGAAGATTCTCCCATCTCCACAGAGGAACTCTGGAGCTCTGTCAGAGTGACCATTGGGTTCTTGGTCACCTACCTGACCAAGGCCCTTCTCCCCCGATTGCTTCGTTTGGCCAGGCGGCTAGCTCTAGGAAGTGTCTTGGTGGTTCCAAACTTCTTCCATTTAAGAATGATGGACGCCACTGTGTTCTTGGGGACCTTCAATGCTGCAGAAATGTTTTGGTACCCTTCCCCAGATCAATGGAAACAGGATGCACCGGAGCTCAATTTCGAGTCTCATAGCAAAGGGTCTGAATACTAATGTAAATAAGGTATTTCAGTTTTTAATTTTTAATAAATTTGCAACAATTTCTAAAAACCTGTTTTCACTTTGTCATTATGGGGTATTGTGTGTAGATTGATGAGGAAAAACATTTATTTAATCAATTTTAGAATAAGTCTATAACGTAACAAAATGTGGAAAAGGGCAATGCACTGTATATAAAAAATTAAGTTAAATTTCAACCTCTTTAAGGACCTTGTGGAGGTAGTTGAACCAGTGCCTGTCAGTGGAGATGTACCAGTAAAGGACCCGGTCACAGAGAGTGACACCAATTCAGATGGACTTAAAGCAACAACTTCAGAAGCTACACATGGTATAAATAAGACAAGAAAACTTAATTGTCTATTACATTTTCATAAAAAATAAGTACAGTGATGTACAATGTTACCTTTGGATGACTTTTTCCTGTTCTTTCTCCAGAAAAATCCACAGGTTCAAAGCCAACGAGACGTCCACGGTTTTTGACTCCAAACCGAACCAAGAGAGAGTCTGGAACAGAAAGCCCAAAGACTGTGTCATTCCCTGGAGTCAGCTCTCTGAAAGGTATTGGATACATTTTTTTAGTTATGAAGTTTCACATCTGTGATCATACATAAAAAATCTTAGTCATAAGTAGTGGTGGAAAAAGTACCCAATTGTCATACTTGAGCAGGGGTGATAGTAAGGCGGTCCGGTATGGCGTCCGGGCAAAATAAATAGTGGGGGTACGCCGTACCAGTAAAACATGAGCCTATCACAATTAATACAACATGCCCAAAAAACTATAGGCTATTACACCATTATTTAACATTACTGCATGTCAGCTGCATGGAAAAATTCGTGAATTGACTGGAAACCGGGTGGTATACGCTCCAAATTGTGTTGTGGTTCGAGGAGAACACTTACATTTTGTTAAGGCGGAGATGAGTGGCCAAGACCGAGGCGCGCGTGGACAACAGTGGATGCATCGATTGAGGTTACAAATGTAGGCCTAATGACAATCGCAGAATGTAGCCAACAGGAGTAGCCTACATGAGTACCTTTAAGTGATTGTTTGACAATCAGATGAAAACATAATGACTGGTTGTGTTTATGCCACATTAAAAGGCATAGGCGGCGTGTCCATAAGGCTAGGGGAAGCTTTCCCTGAAGTAAATTAAATTAACAAAATTATATAGCCTAATTAGCTTACTCCTGTCTATACAGAAATAAATCATTCAAAATAGGCTACTACACCAGAAAGCATGATTTGACCACAAAGGATCATTAGCTTAAAAAAAAAAGCTGTGGATTGTTTTAAATCACATAGCCTACAGTCGGAAGGGCCCGCAATTTGGGCAGCGCTGCAAATACCAATTAGATTGTTGAGTTGGAACCATCAGTGAAAAGCAGAGACCCAGCCAGGCATATAGCAATATTTAAAAATACAATCGCCGAGAAACTGTTTGGAAAGCAAATGGCTATTGCTGAGAAGAGATGACAATGAAAACACTCCAATCTGTCTTTTAGTTATCCAAATTCTTAACTTAATTGAGCGAACAGTAGCCTATCTTATTAGCACCAGCGGAGAACATTTGCCATATCCTTGGTGAGTGTGCACATTCACTGTCTTTATCAGTGGGTCAGTGCAACTTTTGTTTTTGGACAATCATTTCCTCCTCCAGGTTAGATGGAAGTCATATTGTATTTGTGTCTCCCATTTTCATAGGCCGATTATATGGATCAGACATCGTTTTTATTGATCTGTTTGTCAGTCAGCAGAGTAAGCTACCCTGTAATTTTTGCAGTATAAAAAGAAAGTGTGCGCGCACTTGGGTGTCCCGTACCGCTAAGAAGTTAAATCTACTTTCACCACTGTACTTGAATATAAGTAAACATACCTTAACCCCCTAGAGTCAATGTCCTGTGAAAGTCGAATTAGCATAATACAACAATCCAGATAAATATGTTTAAGCTAGAGATATCTGGGGTCTTTCACTGGATGCGTCTAAATCCACTGCATCCGCCAATGTCGCTCTTCCTTATCTGGGGTGAAAGGTGACAGAACTAGAGCGGTGTTTGTCAGACCATGACACATCACAAATAGGTCTTCTCACAAAATCGTCTGTAGTGTCCGAACGGTTTAGCTACAAACTAAACTCTGCACAAAAAGAAACGTCATCTCACTGTCAACTGCGTTTATTTTCAGCAAACTTAACATGTGTAAATATTTGTATGAACATAACAAGATTCAACAACTGAGACATAAACTGAACAAGTTCCACAGACATGTGACTAACAAAAATGTTATGTGTGCCTGAACAAAGGGTGGGTCAAAATCAAAAGTTACAGTCAGTATCTGGTGTGGCCACCAGCTGCATTAAGTACTGCAGTGCATCTCCTCATGGACTGCACCAGATTTGCCAGTTCTTGCTGTGAGATGTTACCCCACTCTTCCACCAAGGCACCTGCAAGTTCCCGGACATTTCTGGGGGGAATGGCCCTAGCCCTCACCCTCCGATCCAACAGGTCCCAGACGTGCTCAATGGGATTGAGATCCGGGCTCTTCGCTGGCCATGGCAGAACACTGACATTCCTGTCTTGCAGGAAATCACGCACAGAACGAGCAGTATGGCTGGTGGCATTGTCATGCTGGAGGGTCATGTCAGGATGAGCCTGCAGGAAGGGTACCACATGAGGGAGGAGGATGTCTTCCCTGTAAAGCACAGCGTTGAGATTGCCTGCAATGACAACAAGCTCAGTCCGATGATGCTGGGACACACCGCCCCAGACCATGAGGGACCCTCCACCTCCAAATCGATCCCGCTCCAGAGTACAGGCCTCGGTGTAACGCTCATTCCTTCGACGATAAACGCGAATCCGACCATCACCCCTGGTGAGACAAAACCGCGACTCGTCTGTGAAGTGCACTTTTTGCCAGTCCTGTCTGGTCCAGCGACAGTGGGTTTGTGCACATAGGCGACGTTGTTGCCGGTGATGTCTGGTGAGGACTTGCCTTACAACAGGCCTACAAGCCATCAGTCCAGCCTCTCTCAGCCTATTGCGGACAGTCTGAGTACTGATGGAGGGTTTGTGCATTCCTGGTGTAACTCGGGCAGTTGTCGTTGCCATCCTGTACCTGTCCCGCAGGTGTGATGTTCGGATGTACTGATCCTTTGCAGGTGTTGTTACACGTAGTGTGCCACTGCGAGGACGATCAGCTGTCCGTCCTGTCTCCCTGTAGCTCTGTCATAGGCGTCTCACAGTAAGGACATTGCAATTTATTGCCCTGGCCACATCTGCAGTCCTCATGCCTCCTTGCAGCATGCCTAAGGCACGTTCACGCAGATGAGCAGGGACCCTGGGCATCTTTCCTTTGGTGTTTTTCAGAGTCAATAGAAAGGCCTCTTTAGTGTCCTAAGTTTTCATAACTGTGACCGTAATTGCCTACCCTCTAAGCTGTTAGTATCTTAATGACCGTTCCACAGGTGCATGTTCATTAATTGTTTATGGTTCATTGAACAAGCATGGGAAACAGTGTTTAAACTCTTTACAATGAAGATCTGTGGATTTTTACGAATTATCTTTGAAAGACAGGGTCGTGAAAAAGGGACGTTAATTTTTTTGCTGAGTTTATTATGCCCACTCTATGGAAAGATAAGACGCTCACGAACAAGATGGTGTTCTCCGTTTTGCTCTACGACCCCCACAAGCACCTTGGCACTTGTTTGAAGCCGGTACAGCCGATCTGACAACTTCTGTCTGTAGTGTCCGAACAGTTTGGGCTACGAACACGTACATGTCGGTTGTTTTGCTCTAGGACGCCCACAGGCCTCACAAGACTTGTCTGAAGGTCCCCCGGTACCAGTTGAATAATTAATGGGCATATATATGGAGATAGTTTAGTGCCAAAAATAATAATACACCACATGACCAAAAGTATGTGGACATCTGCTTGTCGAACATCTCATTCCAAAATCATGGGCATTAATATAGAGTTGGTCCCCCCTTTGCTGCTATAACAGTCTCCACTCTTCTGGGAAGGCTTTCCACTAGATGTTGGAACATTGTTGCGGGGACTTGCTTCCATTCAGCCACGAGCATTAGTGAGGTCTGGCACTGATGTTGGGTGATTTAGACCTGGCTCGCAGTCGGCGTAACAATTCATCCCAAAGGTGTTCGATGGGGTTGAGGTCAGGGCTCTGTGCAGGCCAGTCAAGTTCTTTCACACCAATCTCGACAAACCATTTCTGTATGGACCTCGCTTTGTGCACGGGGGCATTGTCATGCTGAAACAGGAAAGGGCCTTCCCCAAACTGTTGCCACAAAGTTGGAAGCACAGAATCATCTAGAATGTCATTGTATGCTGTAGCATTAAGATTTCCCTTCACTGGAACTAAGGGGCCTAGCCCGAACCATGAAAAACAGCCCCAGACTATTATTACTCCTCCACCAAACTTTACAGTTGGCACTATGCATTGGGGCAGGTAGCGTTCTCCTGGCATCCGCCAAACCCAGATTTGTCCGTCGGACTGCTAGATGGTGAAGCGTGATTCATCACTCCAGAGAACGAGTTTCCACTGCTCCAGAGTCCAATGGCGGCGAGCTTTACACCACTCCTGTCGACGCTTGGCATTGCACATGGTGATCTTAAGCTGGTGTGCGGCTGCTCTGCAAAACCCATTTACTGAAGCTCCCGACAAACCGTTCTTGTGCTGACGATTTTTACACGATACGCGCTTCAGCACTCGGCAGTCCCATTCTGTGAGCTTGTGGCCTACCATTTTGCGGCTGAGGCGTTGTTGCACCTAGATGTTTCCACTTCACAATAACAATACTTACAGTTGACCGGGCAGCTTTAGCAGGACAGACATTTGACTAAATGACTTGTTGGAAAGGTGGCATCCTATGACGGTGCCAAATTGAAAGTCACTGCGCTCTTCAGTAAAGCCATTCTACTGCCAATGTTTGTCTATGGAGATTGCATGGCTGTGTTCGATTTTATACACCTGTCAGCAATGGGTGTGGCTGAAATAGCCGAATCCACTAATTTGAAGGGGTGTCCACATACTTATGTAAACAGTGCATTCAGAAAGTATTCAGACACCTTGACTTTTTCCACATTTTGTTACGTTACAGCCTTATTCTAAAATGGATTAAATAAAAATGTCCTCATCAACCTACACACAATACCCCATAATGACAAAGCGATTTTTTTAGGGGGGGGGGGGGGGGGGGGTAGATCAGCTTAATATTAAAGATAGATTGTAACTTCCATCAATGTAATTGTCTGCATCACTTCCAATCCCCCATGTTTTTTATATATATACTCCCCTTTATTACTTTTCAACCCCGCCATCCTTTCCCTACTTTGGGTAAATTAGTGAACAACAATGCCCAGGCCTCTACTTCCAGCCTATACTTACTATCTACACCTTATGGACACAGTCAATTTTACAATAATTCTATTTTATTTGTTTTTGCTCCTGAACGTCTTCTACTCTCAACCTCTCCGATCATTTTCATGATGTCCATCCGGTTTGCTTCTATATGCCATATCTTTCTAACTGTGCTCTTTCCCAAAAGCTCCCAACATACAACCTATATACTTATTATGGACACAGTATGCTTACATTATTAGTTATCTTATTATTTGTTGTTATTTGTTATTAGTCCCATCCTTCAACTCTATTCAATACCTCCCATCTATCTTTTAACACCATCCATATAGGATTTCTATTTGCCATATATATTTCAACCGTACTGTGATGTTTTACAAATGTTCTGAACCTTTCTATTCTCATTGCTTCTACAGATTGTGAATTAAAAATAAACATTTTTGCTAAAAGTATTATTATATTATTGATCGATTGACTATGACTTTTCAGATCACCCAGTAATGCTATCTGCAAGGTTAGCTCCAGGTAAATATTGCAATCCTTTAGCCATTCCTGGACCTGTGTCCAAAAACAAGCTACAAATGGACAGAACCAAAACAAATGATCTAATGATTCTGTCTCTTCACAGCAAAATCTGCAGAGCTGGGAAGATTGTATCCCCCATATAAATAACATTCTATTGGTAGCAAGAATTTTATATAATAATTTAAATTGAAAAATTCTAATTTTTGAATCCGGTGTCGTTTTGCGTGTCAGTTCATAAACACTATGCCATGGGATCGGTACGTCAAAAATCTCTTCCCAACTATTTTGCAATTTATATGGGACGGCTGTCAATCCTTTGGTCCTGAAGTGAAACTGATATACTTTTTTATTTATCACAGTTTTCCTTAACCAATTATGTTCTTTAATGCAAGGCCGACAGACAAGTTCCTTACTTTCTCCCCCTTCCACTTTCCTCTTCCACTTTTGCGGTAAGGCTGCAATTATTTGGTTGTAATTTTGGGTAGAGCAGACATTTCCATATGTTTTTGTTAGCTGCATGTGCGACATACATACATAAGTTTCTACAACTTGATTAGAGTCCACCTGTGGTAAATTAAATTGATTGGTGGACATGATTTGGAAAGGCACACACCTGTCTATATAAGGTCCCACAGTTGACAGTGCATGTCAGAGCATAAACCAAGCCATTAGGTCGAAGGAATTGTCCGTAGAGCTCCGAGACAGGATTGTGTCGAGGCACAGATCTGGTGAAGGTCCCCAAGAACACAGTGGCCTCCATCATTCTTAAATGCAAGAAGTTTGTAACCACCAAGACTCTTCCTAGAGCTGGCCGCCCGGCCAAACTGAGCAATCAGGGGAGAAGGGCCTTGGTCAAGGAGGTGACCAAGAACCTGATGGTCACTCTGACAGAGCTCCAGAGTTCCTCTGTGGAGATGGAAGAACCTTCTAGAAGGACAGTCATCTCTGCAGCACTCCACCAATCAGGCATTTATGGTAGAGTGGCCAGATGGGAGCCACTCCTCAGTAAAAGGCACATGACAGCCCACTTGGAGTTTGCCAAGAGGCACCTAAAGACTCTCAGACCATGAAAAACAAGATTCTCTGGTCTGATGAAACCAAGATTGAACTCTTTGGCCTGAACGCCAAGCTTCACGTCTGGAGGAAACCTGGCACCATCCCTACAGTGAAGCATGGTGGTGGCAGCATCATGCTGTGGGGATGTTTTTCAGCGGCAGGGACTGGGAGACTAGTCAGGATCGAGGGGAAAGATGAACAGAGCAAAGTACAGAGAAATCATTGATGAAAACCTGCTCCAGAGCGCTCAGGACCTCAGACTGGGGCAAAGGTTCACCTTCCAACAGGACAACAACCGTACGCACACAGCCAGAGCCCAGACTTGGCTTCGGGACAAGTCTCTGAATGTCATTGAGTGGCCCAGCCAGAGCCCAGACTTGAACCCGATCGAACATCTCTGGAGAGACCTGAAAATAGCTGTGCAGTGACTCTCCCCATCCAACCTGACAGAGCTTGAGAGGATCTGCAGAGAAGAATGGGAGAAACTCCCCAAATACATGTGCCAAGCTTGTAGCGTCATACCCAAGAAGACTTGAGGCTGTAATCGCTGCCAAAGGTGCTTCAACAAAGTACTGAGTAAAGGGTCTGAATACTTATGTAAATCTGTTTTTGCTTTGTCATTATGGGGTATCGTGTGTTGATTGATGAGGGGGGGGGAAACTATTTAATCTATTTTAGAATAAGGCTGTAACGTCACAAAGTGGAAAAAGTCAAGGGGTCTGAATACTTTCCTAATGCACTGTATATAGTGGATCTCTCAGATATAGGACAGACACTTCAGAAAAAAAAGTCATTTTAATTTTTTCTTGGGGGGGGACTATCTGTTCCATGTAGTTGATCTGTTATTCAATGCGTTTGTATGGGCTACTGCAAAAAATATTTTAAATAAAATGGCAAAATGGTCCTTGTTATGACTTTCTTAAAATAATTATATGTAGCTTATTAGTAGGCTTAGACTGCTATGGGTTTTTAATAAATGATTCAAGTGGAAGTCACCCAGTAAAATACTACTTGAGTAAAAGTCAAAGTATTTGGTTTGAAATATACTTATGTGTCAAAAGTAAAAGTATAAATCATTTCAAATTCCTTATATTAAGCAAACCAGATGGCACAATGTTGTTGTTTTTTAGCCAGGGCACACTCCAACACTCAGACATAATTTACAAACAAAGTATGTGTTTAGTAAGTCTGCCAGATCAGAGGCATGACCAGGGATGTTCTCTAGATAAGTGTGTAAGTTGCATTTTCCTAACCTGCTAAGCATTCAAAATGAAACGAGTACTTTTGGGTGTTGAAGGAAAATGTATGGCGTGAAAAGTACAAGATAATTCACCTGACCGGTGTGGCATATTAAGAAGTTGATTAAACAGCATTATCATTACACAGGTGCACCTTGTGCTGGGGAGAATTAAAGGCCACTCTAACATGTGCAGTTTTGTCACACAATACAATGCCACAGATGTCTCAAGTTTTGAGGGAGAGTGCAGTTGGCATGCTGACTGCAAGAATGTCCACCAGAAATGTTGCCAGAGAATTTAATGTTAATTTCTCTACTATAAGCCGCCTCCGTCATTTTAGAGAATTTGGCAGTACGTCCAACCTGGCCTCACAACCACAGACCACGTGTAACTACGCTAGCCCAGGACCTACCTCCACATCCGGCTTCTTCACCAGCGGCATCATCTGAGACCAGCCACCAGACAGCTGATGAAACCTTGTGGGTTTGAACAACCGAAGAACTTCTGCACAAACTGTCAGAATCCGTCTCAGGGAAGCTCATCTGCGTGCTCGTCGTCCTCACCAAGGTCTTGACCTGACTGCAGTTCGGGGTCGTAACTGACTTCAGTTGGCAAATGCTCGCCTTCGATGGCCACTGGCACACTGGAGAAGTGTGCTCTTCACAGATTAATCCTGGTTTCAACTGTACCGGGCAGATGGCAGACTGCGTGTATGGCATCGTGTGGGCGAGTGGTTTGCCGATGTCAATGTTGTGAACAGTGTGTCCCATGGTGGCGATGGGTTTATGGTATGGGCAGGCAGGCATAAGCTACGGACAACGAACACAATTGTATTTTATCTATGGCAATTTAAATGCACAGAGATACAGTGATGAGATCCTGAGGCCCATTGCTGTGCCATTCATCCGCTGCCATCACCTCATGTTTCAGCATGATAATGCACGGCCCCATGTGTTGCAATGATCTGTCCACAATTCCTAGAAGCTGTAAATGTCCCAGTTCTTCCATAGCCTGCATACTCTCCAGACATGTCACCCACCTATTGAGCATGTTTGGGATGTTCTGGATCGACGTGTTCAAGTTCCCGCCAATATCCAGCAACTTTGCACAGCCATTGAAGAGTGGGACAGCATTCCACAGGCCACAATCAACAGCTTGATCAACTATATGCGAAGGAGATGTCGCGCTACATGAGGCAAATGGTGGTCACACTAAATACTAACTGGTTTTCTGAATCCACACCCCTACCTTTTTTTTAAAGGTATCTGCGACCAACAGATCCATATCTGTATTCCCAGTCACGTGAAATCCATAGATTAGGGCCTAATGAATTTATTTCAATTGACTGATTTCCTTATATGAACTGTAACTCAGTAAAATCTTTGAAATTGTTGCATGTTGCGCTTATATTTTTGTTCAGTGTAAGTAGTACTTTTACTTAAGTATTTTACACCACTGGTCATAAGATTGGCAACACATTTTCATGCGAATATCCTAAAATCTGCATTAACAGAATGTACATTTTCCCAATGTATGTTTCCATCAAACTGACTAATTGTGGATAAAATGCTGTGCGTAATGATAAAGTGAACATAAAAAGCATTTTTGGGCTTAAGTTTCATGTACCGAATAAAAAGCAGGTTCAATGTGTTTCCATCGCATTTTCAACTCTACCGATGTTTTTTTCACAAAAACTGTTGTGATAACTTGCCCAATCTGGTTTTGGCGCATGCTCTCTAGACAACAGTTCGCTGATAAAGTGGACAGGGTAGGTTATATGAGATATGGACAAGAGCAATATCATTTTTATTTGATCATTGGCAGCCAAACATTGATCATGTCACCAGCATTAAAAACAAAAGTTCATCGCCGTCCATCACTTAACCACCATGAAGTTCATCAAAACGTATTTAATCTGTCTATAAACTCTTAATGTGTTTCACGTCTTAGTGGTAGTACAACATAGTATTTCATCCTGTGACTCCCAAGTTTACTTCAACATGATGGTTTATTATATCAATATTTGCACCTAAAGGAGTTTCCACGACAATTGATGCATAATGATTTTACAGACACAAAAAGATCCCACCATGTTGAACGAACAAATTGTCTCTCGACATTTGACATCGTACCAACACTTCCTGTTTCCATCACACCTGTTGTGATTTTGTTTTATACTGCATGACTTTACTCACATAAAAACTGTGTATGGAAATGTACTTCTTTACAGAGTATCCTGCATATACAAGGAGAAATGCAGACGTAAAAGTCAGATTGCATTTTATTCTGTGGCCAATTAACAATTACTTGAAACCTCTTCTACTTCCAATAGATCTCAAAGAGCTCTTTGAGCGCTCAGGGACCGACCCCGCCTCTCAGGGAATGTCTTACCAAGTCTTGAGGAAACTCTTTGACACAGCAACACCAGACCCCCGTAGCCTGGAATGCTACGACAAAGATGGGGACCAGAGGTTCTCACTGGCTGAAATGAAAGCTGCTGCAGGTCTGTGAGAAGAGGAGTGGCAGAGGCAGCAGTGGAAGGAGAGGAAGTCTCTGGTGTGTGTGGAGTGCCTCACAGTAATGATGGTTGCACTTTTATTGAACTGAATATTTAATAAGCTGAATGTGGAACCGTGGCACTGGCATGCCCCCCCCTGCACACCTCACTGGTCCTACACGCCTAAGCTACAGTAAGCAACACAGATCCAAGCTTTGATATTTCTTATAAGTTGACAAATTGTACTTTTCAGAAATATTTTTATTTATGACCAGTTGATGTCAAATGAATCATTGAATAGGGACATCATGACTTCACCCAAATATCACTTATCATAATGTAGTACCTACCACACACTTCAGTTTCTTTGCTTATTTTCTGTATTTTCTTTATACATGTTTTGTGGTAAGTCTTGAGTTATTGTCTGCATTTTTATTTGGATTTTAATGTAACACTGTAGATTTTTGTTTTATTTTTTAAATCTGCAAGATTTGAAGGGCTATAAAGACACTTTTGACTAGTTCAGAAAGAATCACCTTGATTGTCCTGAAGCATATGTAGCAATAATACAATGTAAATGAGCTTATACTAGCGGAGTATAGTGTTAACTTCAATTTGCAGTATATAAGTGTTGTGTGTAGTACAGATGAAAAAATACATAAGTAGGCACACCTGGCTGTGATGATGTAACAGGTAGTGAGAGAAGCACTGATTCCTCTTTACTTGATTCTGTCATTTTGTGTGGGCCTTTACATTAAATGCAAATGTACAAATCAGGACATGTCAAATCACTCAACACTGTTGTATGATGTAAATATGGTACAATTGTTTTATATGGCATCCTGTAAGATTGACTTGTTTGGGGGGGGCTGTTTTATATAGCTAGAGGACTGTAGAAAATCCTCAGCATTGTACATGGTAATGGAAATGATTTTATGAAGTTGTGCTTTGCATGTTTCTCTTAATGTAACATTAATAAATGTGTAATTTAACAAAGGACTGTTTGAGAGTAATTTAGTTTTGCAGGGTAATGGTGTGGAATTCTGGAACTCAATTAGGTCAAACTGATTTTGAATTGTCATTTAGATTTCCGACAGGAATATTGTCCCTATAAAGATGTGTGCTTTGGGAATTTTATGTTTTGTGTGAGCACTAATGAATAAATGAAAATGTGGATTAACAGGATTTGACAATCTGTAGTTTCCATACTTTTTCAAACGTTAGATGGTATTTAAGTCAAGGTTCTCATAAAGGAGGACTCTGTAGTTTTTGTTTTGGAATGCAGTGTATCAAGTACCAGTATGCACCAGGTTCCGATAAGGAGGAACAGATGGGTGTAAATCGAATACGTTATTTTTTTTGGAATTAGCTGTGATTGTATATTCGTTGTGCAACCATGGCGGAAACTAAATGAGTGTGCATTTAATTATGGGGTTGATTTGTGTTGAGCTGTGTGTAAGGGCTCCAGGAATGAGAATTGAGGATTTGGCTCCCAATTATTTTTTTAATGAGTGCTGATAGTACAGTATTTCACATACAGATTAAGATTTCTGCAAATGTGCGACAGTCTGACAGTAGAAAAATACCATTTACCACAAAAGCAAGTTATATACATAAAAACTGTATTAGACAACACTTTTAGACATTCAATATCCTCAACAAAGGTTTATCATTGACATGGAGGGAGGAAAGAAGTGGCTTCCTTTGCAACTTCACTTTTTTATTTATAATCTGAAGAAACCTTTTGACCAAGTTAGGGTCGAAAGGCCCCAGGGATTTTAAGCAAGGGCCCCTTTGGCCCGCCAGTCCCTTGACAACAAGTGGAGAAGTTTTTCTTCGTCCTCATCGCTTCCGCTGGAGTCTTCCTGGTTTTCTGTTTTCTCCTTCACAACCTTCTTCACCATATCTTGCTTATCTCTCAATACCTCAACCCTCCGGTAACATTCGATTTGCTCATCAATTTCATCAATCTGACGCTCAAGACGACCCTCCTCGTCATCCTCAGCTACAATGGCCTCTGATTTGGTGTTCACCTGCCGCATTTCCTTTTGGAACTCTTCCCACTCCTTATCCATTTGATCTTTGGGGGCATCCACATTACGGACTTTGGCATCTCTCACTGGGTCGTCAAAGAAGCCTTCTGGTAGTGCTTCAGGTGTATTTCCCTTCTTCTCCACACTCTTCTCAGTTTCATCTGGTTTGAGGATAGACCCCGAATGAGAAGCAGCTGGGACTGCTGGAATGGTGCTGTTGTCAAAGAAATCAGGTGGGAGTCCTGGGGCAGGTGCCCCCTTCTGCACAACCAAGCTAGAGGCTGCCCCCTGGTCACCAGCCTCATCTTCATCATTGTCGTCCTCATCATAGACTCCGGCCAGCAGACTCAATCCAGCAGATGTCGTTTTTTTCAAAATTCCAGTTAGTTTCTTCGGCCCTGGCGGGGCAGGTTTCGCAAAGAAATCATCAGGCAGCCTTGACGTAGATGACTTCTCTGTACCTGCCACTGGTTTAGACTTCTTCCCATTCGTGTCTTCAGAATCCAATGCTTTCCTTTTCAGCGGGGGCTGGGGTCCTTGACTTGTAGAACTTTGTTTAGACCCCTTGAGCTCGGCAACTTTCTCCTTGTGCTGTTTTCCAAGAATGTGAGTCTGCCACAATAGTTCATTCTTTACCCGCTCGTTGCAGAGTACGCAGCTAAGGTGATCGAGACTGTTGTACTTGGCGTATGGGGATTCGACACGATTCTTATCTATCGTTTGCCTTTGTTTCGCTCTCATTAACCGTCGCAGTTCATCTTGATGTATCACTTTCCTCTGCTTATTTTTTGGAGGCATTCTTTAATTGAGTTTCAAAACAAAATTACTGGAAGCTTGGGAAAGAAGTAAAACACGGAACATGTAGATGTGTTTTTTCAAGACCCCTAGTAGGCGTCGAAAATATTGCCAGATTAAAATGTGAGAACAAATACTGTAAATTATACCCAACGCTGGTCCTTTCACATTGCATGTATCATGAGTTTACAACAATATATTTTGTGTGCCTTAAATATGTATTTCGCTTTTCTAAATAGATGATGCACAACTAATTATCGCAATAGCGAGGGGAATGTGGTTTGATGTTTGTCATTCTCGCGAGATACTAAGCGGAAAATGGCAGATGGTGTTTTCACTCGGTCATCTTGCTTTTTAGCAAGCAAACAACCGCAGTGCAAGCTGCAACGGGAACATTTTTGAAAGGAGTATTTTCAAGGATGTAGCCGAAATATTTGGTATTTCCATTCTTAATCGATTGTTACAATCGTAAGAGTATATTTTTCATCTGCTTTGTTTTTACGTCTGTGTTGTTTCTGTTGTTGTTAACACCGCACCTCTACCCACATCCATTCTATGCTAGCAAAACTGCTAACTAGGTTAGCTAAATAGTAACTGTTAGTAAGGTAGCAATTGCAGGTGTCGTTGACAATCAGAACACATCATTAATACAACATTTATTTTAGGTAGTCTGTTTGCTGGTTAGTTACGTTAAATCATGACCGGGGAAAAGATTCGCACGTTGCGGAAAGACCATAACAAGCCTAGTATTAAGGATGGGGATATAATGGAAACCTATGATGAATCTACAAATGTGACAATGTCATCTCCAACCCCCAACGGTACCATCATCATGTACAAATCAAACAAGAACCATAACAAGACGGTGAAACCTTTGGTACTGCAGCAGCTGTCGAATATCAATGCAAACAACATCAATGGCAATCAATCAGTTGTCGCCATCATCGATGACAATAACAAGAACCCCATCATTCTGACCAATGGCAATGAGGACTTGAATTTGGAATTCCCTGTTCACGAATGTGTGTTCAAAGGAGATGTGCGTCGCTTGTCCTCACTCATTCGGACCCAGAACATCTCCCAGAAAGATGTACATGGTGAGTGTGCATGGTAACCCTTACCCATTCATAGACGCTAACTACCTTTAGCGCCTATTGATGATAGAAAGTATCTTCTGTCCAGGGGAGTTTTGTTAAGAGGCCCGAACGCTCGTTGTGATCGTTAAAATGCATCGCTTGCTGTGTGGTTTTGGAAACATAAGTAACTTATCTTTCATGTCAGCAATAAATGATTGTCAAAAAACAAAAGGATCAATTACTACACACCTTTTTAATAAGGTTAGTGTTCCCACACAGCCATATCTCCATGTTACAGCACTTGTTTATGGAAGACCATAGGCAGCCACCTGGGCTTCAGCTATCTTGCATGCTCTGAAGTGTTGCCAACTCCTCAGTAAGGAAAGTAACTATTGGCTGTCCTAAAAGTCGCTAGAAGTTTAATAACTTGCATAATTGCCAATGTGCATGTAAGTGTGATGGACGCTGTAGGAGAGAGGAATAACGTCGTGGGTGAGACAAAACGTGAGTAAAAAGCTGCGCGATGACTGGGCCGCCTTTGAGTGCTTTGGGAGGGGGTGGGACCCGCTGCTCGTTGAGAAGAGTAAGAACGATACGTGCTTTCACGTCAGTCTCAAATAACACCAGAAAAAGTCGCTAGTCGCTTTTTTGAAAATGTGTAGCTAGAGGGGTCTGAATACTCGCTAAATATAGCGACAAAGTCGCTAAATTGGCAACACTGCTGAACACCTGTGTGTAAGCATAACTGGGGAGGAAGTGTAGCTTGTAAGCTGGAGGCACACAGGGTATGGATCTGTGCAACACTGCTACAGTAAATGATTATTTCTAGCTGATATGAAAGATAAAGGGCATATGTTTTGAAAACCGTTTTGCAAGCAATGGTTGACGTTTCTAAACGTTCAAACACAGCCTCAGAATTGTAGTTTACATGCAGCCAACCGTGGGCGATGAGAACTACTGAAACTGCTACGGATAATAAGGGTTTTCAAGAGCTAGGGAACCCAAACGTAGTACATGTAATTGAGCTAGAAAATCACATAACTAGGCTATCACTTCTACTTCTGGATCCATTAAATATTAGCTGACAATCATGTGACCAACCTGTGCTTGCTCACAAAACGTATGTTGAATTAAACAAACATTGTCCATGTGCACCTGCACCAGCTGTGACATCAATTATCTCATAACAGTTCTCTGTCTATCTTTCCAGGAAACACACCTCTTCACTTAGCTGTGATGATGGGCCACAAAGGTAAGGGCTTTGACTTTTGTAATCAAGAATATCTGATATGGAGAATAACAGATACATAGGCCTACTTGAACGGGACAGAGACATGCAAACAGCGTTGTTTCCCATTGGGAGCAGAATGACCAGTACATCTGTACTACTTTTCTCTAAACATCACATAGCACCAGAGTTTGACAGGATGGTTTGCCTCATATTCTCATCTCTGGCCTAAACCTAAGCCCAGCCAGGGGTTTTGCCATTCACATAACATAATCACCATGTTTTCTAGCTCTCCTCTAATAAGTCCTCCATGTGGCTTTTTTTCTGGGATAAGTCCCCTTTCTGTCCTGCTGTACTGAGCTTATCCTGGCTGACCTCTGCAGACTGCAGTGTGTTACATAGTCTAGTAGTCTCATGGCAGTGGCTGTCCCATGGGTGGGACAGGTCCACATGATCCCCTAATCCCATTGATTAGTCTGACTCAAATGCAAAGCAGCATCTCTCTTATGTGAAGGTCATACACAGTAAATTAACTGTCAAAATGTAATATACTGGTAACATGGATGGATGGTAATGAGAATTCACTGTCCAAGTACAAAGACCATGGAGACAGGTAGTAGGCTTGAAAACAAAAACAATTCATCTAAAAGCAGCTTGATGTTTGTTAAATTCTGTTTGTGTGTTTTTTGTTGTTGTGCTATAGAGTGTGCCCTCCTGCTCCTGGCCCATAATGCCCCTGTGAAGGTGAAGAATGCACAGGGCTGGAGCCCCCTGGCAGAGGCCATCAGCTATGGAGACCGACAGATGAGTAAGGATATGGGGTATTTTATATCCTTTTTTATACACGGTACCGGAAGGCTATTATTTTATATTATATATAATGTATCATTGAACAGTCATGTTCCGTCCCTGAGTTTTCTTTACATAGATTTGAGTTTATCCTGTATTTGAGTACACATTTACACTCAGGTTCTCTCATGTCATGGTCCTCCCTCTATTTGTACTGTATTTGTTTGTCTCTGTCCTAATTGGATCCTTCCTGGGCTGTCCGGCTGTAGACTAACTCTGATTGCTCTCTGATGCTGATGAGAGGTTGGGTTGTAGGTTGTCCCAGCCAGCCAAAGCCATGCAGGGGATTTTCTCTGAGCGCTCTATCCACATCCATACGGAACCCAGCCTGGCCCAGGGCTTAGTATGACTGCGAGGGCACTGAGCAGCTTTACAGCTGGCTGGCTTCCTCTCTCTGTTCACATTTAATGCCCCATCCTAATGCTTTTAACACTGAACACTAGAGGCCTCAATATATGTTTTATGTGTATTGATTATTTGAATGTTTGTTAGGAATGCCAGTTGTGGAGTGTCCTTTTTGAAATGGTGGGAGTAGTGTAGAGGATTGAATCAAATGCCATGTTTTCCCCATTGGCTTTACTAGCTTGCTCTGTTTTTTTCCTGTTTTAATGCCTTGTTAGCAAAGAAATCATAAGCTGCATAAATTAAAATAATATTATAAATAGGCTAGTTCATCAAAAATTCCATGCAAGTAATTGTTACGTTAGGCAAATCAATTTACTCAAAAAATACCCAAAGATACTGATAATGTATACTGAACAAAAATATAAACGCAATATGCAACAATTTCAAAGATTTTACGGAATTACAGTTCATGTAAGGAAATCGGTAAATTTAAATAAATAAATTATGCCCTAATCTATGGATTTCACATGACAGGGCAGGGGCGCATCCATGGGAGGGCATAGACACTGGGGAGCCAGGCCCAGCCAATCAGAATGAGTTTTTCCCCACAAAAGGGCTTTATTACAGACATATACTCCTCAGTTTTATCAGCTGTCCAGGTGGCTGTTCTCACACGATCCCGCAGGTGAAGAAGCCGGATGTGGTGGTCCTGGGCTGGCGTGGTTACACGTGGTCTGCGCGTATTGCCATATTCTCTAAAACAACATTGGAGGCGGCTTATGGTAGAGAAATTAACATTCAATTCTCTGGCATCAGCGCAATCCAGCAGTCAGCATGCCAATTGCACGCTCCCTCAACTTGAGACATCTGTGGCATTGTGTTGTATGAGAAACTGCACATTTTAGAGTGGCATTTTATTGTCCCCAGCACAAGGTGTACCTGTGTAATGATCATGCTGTTTAATCAGCTTCTTGATATACCACACCTGTCAGGTGGATGGATGGATTATCTTGGCAAAGGATAAATGCTCATTAACATGGATGTAAACTAATTTGTGCACACAATTTGAGAGAAATACTTTTTTTTGCATATGGAACATTTCTGGGATCTTGTATTTCAGCTCACGAAACATGGGACCAACACTTTACATGTTTTATATTTTTGTTCAGTATACAAATCTTTATTTCCCACCTATTAAATTCCCTGTTATATGTTGAGCGGGTTAGCGCTATGACCCTGTCACCCCAGCATGTATTAGTATGCGGCTCCAGTCCAGCAGTAGGGATGATTTGGCAGACTGGGGACACAGAGGTCAGGCATGGGAAGGTCAGATCGCGGTGTGGGGGCAGGGATCGGAGGAAAGGACAGCATGGCTCCAGCCACACAGTACAGCAAGGACACGCAAAGGCAGCCAAACTCTGGCCAGTGACTGGGGCAGTACTAGTAGTGGTAAAATAAAAATAATGCAGTGGTTCCCAACTCCAGTCCTAGAGTGCCCCCAACAGTACACATTTTTATTGTAGCCCCGGACAAGCACACCTGATTCTACTTGTCAACTAATCACCAGGCCCTCAACCAGTTGAATCTGGTGTTTTTTGTCTGGGGCTACAACAAAAATGTGTGCTGTTGGGGGTACTGGAGGACTGGAGTTGGGAACCACTGTACTAGGGCTTATTATTGAGAGAGGGAGAGAAAGAAAGTAATCTTGTATAGATGGAGCCTATTGATTTTTCCTATTTCAATTGCATAAGATCAAATAATGTCATAGTAACTAGGCTTTCATCTCTCTCACACACACGCCCTGCGACAGCAGCTCACTCTAGATGTCCATATCCACCGTGCAACACTGCTCTGCCCCTGCAGCGAGCGCTTGCTTTGTCAGCACTTCCTCACACTCAAAATCCCCATTCTAATGTTTCTCACTGGTCAAGATTACTGGATAGAAGATAGAGCTATCACCCCAATTATAATTCATTGCAAGATAGCACACATTTAGCAATCCATCCAAAAACTCTTAAGGCCTGAGTGGGGTTATATAACTGAGGTTCAGCCTGTATTAAATTGCATATTAGAACGAGTATGCGCAGCCTCCCCTGAATACTCTGCTGCACCAAGAATCCACGGCCCGGATTGCTGGCTGCATCAGTGTTGAGCATTCATGTCATGTAACAGTCACACACGGGTGTTTCATGAGTACATGCAGTGACGTGACACGCTTTAGAGTGAAGATCTGAGGTCACCTTAACTCTCACTTACACTGTCAGAGTAGTATCAGCCTAAACCCCATCGGATTACTGTTACAGTATATCACTTGGTTGACTGATTTATCGCTCATTGACTGGCTGGGTATCTCTCCTCTCCCTTTTCTTCTCTGGCTCATGACTTTCACTGTTATTGAAGTGTGGGTTTGCAAAGCTCGTTTTTCACTTTTAGGTTTACTGCATATTGCTTTTTTACAAGATCATCTGCCCTTGGAATCCCTTCTGCTGTGTATGGAGAAACGTACACACGTAGAATATCTAGGGCTATAGAATATATTCGCTGTTTTGTGTGGTGTAGTGCCTTGCTAAGGCTTTGTTTTAAACTCCCTCCTCTCCCCTCCTCAGTTACGGCTCTACTGCGGAAGTTGAAACAGCAGTCCAGAGAGAGTGTGGAGGACAAGAGGCCCAAGCTGCTGAGAGCACTGAAAGAGGTGAGGTTCTGACAGCCAACTAGACTAGGGACTACTACAGTGTCTGGTTAGAAATAGGATCTGTGCACTCTATACATATGTCAAATACTTGAGCTGCGCTTGATTTAGTTTGCCTGGTACAGTGGAATAAATTGAATAGTCCCAAATGTATTTGGACGGATTTGATATGCATTTGACCCAGGTCTGGTCCACTCCATAACAAGTTTCAGTTTACAACCACTATCTTGCTATACCTTTACCCCTTCTCTCAAACATCAGCATCTGTCCAATGTAACAGCCCCTACCTCTCACCAAAACACACTCTTTCCCTAATTAAAATGGTCTAACAAGTTATGCCTCCAGCTATAAAGAAAAAGTATTGATGGATTTAGTTTGGTGTTATGTGGCTTGCATGACAAGATGATAATGTGTCACGTTTTGTTTCTTCATAGCTTGGTGACTTCTACTTGGAGCTTCACTGGGACTTTCAAAGTTGGGGTGAGTCGACTCTACATCATATGCAATACATTAAAATAACAAGCTACAACGATGAGCCAACATCTCCTTTCACACGCTCTGTCTCCATTCATTGTTATTCTTAGTGGAGGACACCTTAGCCAAGTAGTTTCATTCTCCAATATAATTAGTGTTCTGTTCCCATTCTATCCTGGCTGTGAGTGTGATGTGTTAATTGCTTAGTGGGTTTGGGGCTCTCTGTCTCTCAGCTCAGGGATTCAGGGCCTAGCCACGGCCGTGTTCATTTATATACCACATAATGATACCACGTATTATCTCTGCAGTTTCTTAGTTCATCTTATTCATCAACTGTGGATCATTACATTGTTATATTTTCCTGTCTCATAGTGCCCTTGCTCTCCCGGATTCTGCCATCTGATAACTGCAAGATCTACAAGCAGGGGATCAACATCAGGTAAGGCATCAAATACACGTCTGACACAGACACCAGCTATACTCCTCACAGGTTGTGAGGAGTATAGCTGGCGTCTGCAACCACTCACCTTCCGAGTTAACTCATTACACACTTTCTCTCCTCTGACAGACTGGACACCACTCTGGTAGACTTCACGGATATGAAGTGTCAGAGAGGAGACCTCAACTTCATCTTCAACGGAGACGCTCCGCCCGCTAAGTCCTTTTATGTTCTGGACAATGAGCAGAAGGTGTACCAGCGTATACATCACGAGGTGAGCTATCTGGTTTACATTTAACATCATCACCATCCTCCAAGCCAACCGCTCTTACATAAATGCTTTTATTGCAAATGCTTGTATTGACTGAAAGCTCTGCCATTGTCACAGTAAAATAAACATTTGCATAGATTCTATATTGTGCAGAAGTCATGTCACCATCCAGCATGATAATATCTGACTGACTGTTGTTGTGTCCCTGCAGGAGTCTGAGATGGAGACTGAGGAAGAGGTGGACATCCTGATGAGCAGTGACGTCTATTCTGCCACCCTGTCCACCAAGTCCATCACCTTCTCCCGCAGTCAGATCGGCTGGCTCTTCAGAGAGGACAAGACAGTAAGCACCCCACCCTGTCCTGGGTGCTGTTCAGTAGGGACAAAATGTGTTGAAATGGGGTTCTACCTGGAGTTGTCCAATAAGAGCACAGATTTGTTTTACCGGTTGCAAAACATTTTCCCATGGTGTGTCCTACTGAACACGACCCTGTTGTCAAATTAGGCCAGTCACTGGAATATAAAGCAAATAATACAATGGGTCTCTGATCATAATCTGTGCACTGTATTGGGAATAGGGTGTCATAACTCAGCCACCAGTGTTTATTATACGTCTGGCTTGTGTCTGTCCCTGAAGGAGAGGGTTGGTAACTTCCTGGCAGACTTTTACTCTGTGAACGGCCTGGTGCTGGAGTCCAGGAAGCGCCGCGAGCACCTGAGTGAGGAGGACATCCTGAGGAACAAGGCAGTCATGGAGAGCTTGAGCAAGGGAGGCAACCTGGTGGAGCAGAACTATGAGGTGAGGAATGGAAGGGAGGGAGGGACTAGGATGGAGGGAGGCTTTGGGTCTTTAGTCTCTTCTTCAGTGGTGGGTGTGGTGCACATTATATGGATATAAAAGTAAGCCTACATGTGATCATCTCCCTCTCTGTCTTTCCCTCAGCCTCAGAGAAGGCTGTCCCTCTTGGCTCCAGATCCCAACACTATCTCCTGGGAGGAGTACATCTCTGCAGAGCACGGAAAGTAAGCCCTGCTTTATTCCTTTTAGGAAAGGTCACAGATGACACTACTATCCTGATGAATTTCAAGCCACTGTGTTTATTATTGAGTTATTGACATGTCAGTGCATTGAAGCTCATTACTAGCAGTGGCTTACTCTTAACCCTCCAAACGTATACGCCAATGATGCTGACTTAGCCCGTGTGTGTTCATCCCCAGGGCACCTCATCTTGGGAGAGAGCTTGTGTGTAAGGAGAGCAAGAAGAACTTCAAAGCGACCGTAGCCATGAGCCAGGATTTCCCTCTGGGCATTGAGTCGTGAGTAGAATCCCTCCTCTTATTGGCTAATAGTCTCTCGTCAGTCTCATCACTGACTGCAGTGCTATTGGAAACGTCCATGTATTGATCATTGTTGTGCACACAGGTTCTAATTAAATGTACATTAGGCTGTTGCAGATTCGTGTCTAGCTAATGCTTTTCAAAGGCCTCTTGATTTTTTTTTGTATTACTTATTGGTTTTATTGTTTAAATGGTACCTCATCAAATAATGTACTGTAAGAACATTTTTGATTTACCCTGACCCTAATGATTTAGCACTGACCCTTTTTTTTTTCGGTCTTCTTCCAGGTTACTGAATGTGTTGGAGGTCATAGCCCCATTTAAGCACTTCAACAAACTCCGAGAATTCGTTCAAATGAAGCTTCCTCCTGGGTTCCCAGTCAAGCTTGGTATGCATCTACTGTACATTGTGTGGCCACATGGCAATTTTATTTTTAAGTTAAAAATAAAGTGAAATATTGTGAAATAATGAAGAAACTGACAAATATTAAACGCTCTAAATAACCCCTCCTATTTCTGTGTTCCAGACATCCCTGTGTTCCCCACTATCACAGCAACGGTCACCTTCCAGGAGTTCCGCTACGAAGACTTTGACGAGTCCATCTTCTCCATCCCAGCGGAATACAAGGAGGATCCCAGCCGCTTCCCTGACCTCTGACCTGGTTGTCGTAGCAACCAGAGGTGCCCCGGCAACGCACACTCGGAAACTGACAGAGAAACGAACTCTACCTACCTACACTATTAAAAGGAAAATAACCAACTAAAGACAGTTGAGATTAAATAAGAGGATGCCATCTTATTATTTGATGTCTGTCTGTGTGTTCTGATGAAAAAAGGGAATTGTCTCTTGGCCCTGAGTTTGTTCCTTTTGTAGATATTTCCTTTATAGCCAACAAGAATCATAGTGCACCACAACAATTTTCAGATGTGTAGCAACAACAGCACAAGGTCAAACTCCAGAAGAGAAGAATTGATGAGATATAGAAAAATATTTTATGTCATCTCCGTAACAGCTTATTGTTCACCAACTCCGTGATCACTGCAAACCAGCTCCTGTGAAACGTTATGGAGTTGGCTTCATCTGTGACGTCTTCAGCGTGCACTTCTCCAGGTTTAGCACTCACTGCACCCAGTTTATCTAGCGTCTGCCCTTTGGGGATTGCCCTTTTCTCAACATGTTTAAGTACCCTTGGAAGAAGTGCACTGACATTCATTGCCTGTAAATGACTATGGTATAAATGAAGTGTTAGAAATATAAAGATGTCATAACTGAACTGAGAAAATAATGTACCAAATGTACAATATATATAGTCAAAGGAGCAACACTGTGTAGCAATACATTTCCAGTACATAAGAATGTTTTTTTAAACCTGCTGGGAGAAAGTATGGTGTAAAACTGCATTCTTACAAAGATATCAACGCCCAAGCCTTTTCTCTCTAGTGCAGGATGCAAACTCCTGTATTTTCAGGTTAGCTCATCTATCTTACCTCCTGGCTATCACTGTCTGTTTCAAGTGATAGTATGAATTTAATCTGTTTTGTGTGCGAGAGAGGACTTTAAAGGGTTGTTGGTGTGTGTGTGTGTGTGTGTAAGCGAACCCAAATGGGTATCAGGAAAGCTGTTCTAGTTTGATACTGCACTGACATTAAGTATATTTAATCGCATGCTATGTTGACCCAATTGGATTACTTGTGTACTCTTGAGCGTATATTTCCTACACTTGTTATACATGCTACCATCTCCCTATCCTTTCTGATTATTCAGGAAGACCAACTTCTAACGTATAAATATTGTAATCGCACTAAAACCTAAATGTACTTAGGTGCTTTAACTGCAACATTCTTTCATTGAGTATATACTTAATTTCCCCTGTCCATATTACACTACAGACTCAACTACATTACATTTCAATGAGCTTATACAGTTGGACTATCAACCTGTAAAATCCATATGGTTTTTGAAATTAGATGTGACCAGCAGTGGGTAACAGTTTGGCTCATAAGGATGTGTATCTGGCTTGGGCCTACTGGTATTTATAAATGTATTGCAGCTTTCCCATCCCTTTAAATAAAGCACCATCATGTCTCAGCTTCTTTGTCTTTTATTCAGTGGAATTTGAATTGTAGTCTCCAGCAGACTGTAGCTTGGTGTCTCTGAATCCATGGAGTCAAGCCTCCAAGATATTGGCCATAATGGGAATCCAATGGAGTATAATTTGTGACTAAGGCCAGGATTCAATCAGATCAGCGTTAACCCACGGTAGCCGACATATGCATACCTTAATACTTGTGTCTGTGGTATAACTACGTTGGAGCTGTCAAATTGGTGAACCGCTGCTCTTGTGGTCCTTATACCCCACCCGTGTTAGAAGTTCACAACTAGAAAATGTAGGCTATATAGAAATGACACTCAAATTGAAAATAATCATTTATATCAGCCTTATCGAGGTGTAGATTACACACATTCCAGTGTTTGAACTTGTAACACGGCTGCATGGGATTTCTACTAATGCGACCCGGCGCATCCAGTGTGCAATGTCTGTGATCGGTGTAACGCAGGGAGCTGCTTGTGAATTTGACAGCACCAATGCAGTTGCACCTCTGTGACACGGCCTAAATAAAAGCAATGATACACTATGCATATATCAGTTACCGCAGGTTACTGCTGATCTGATTGAATCCTGGGGCTCTATTCAATCTATCACTGAAGCGCGATAAAAATGTAAAGGTAATTTCTGATCAGCCAACATATGTAGTGTTCACCGTGAATGCAGTCTCCACCAACGCAGGAACATCACCTTTAAAATTAAATCACGCTGAACTTCCACAAACGGATTGAATAGAGCCCCTGGCCTAATTCTCTATTGATCAATCATACTATTCAGGCCACAGAAAGCTCAGCATTTGATACTGGGTCATACAAGGGTCCATGTTAAAACTTCGCCCTAAACCTAAATGGACAGAGCACCTGAATTTTAAACAAAATAAATCAAATCTTTCCCAGGTTTTTATTGTACATAAAAAAGAACATCACTGATAAAACAATACAAACTTATAAGAATAGCAACAAGCATTAGATCTACTGGGTATTGTGAATAGGTGAGATATGGACAGGTTATTATAGCACCACAAGACTCAGTATAAGTATACATCTTCCGTATAATAACGGATGGGATATAAACACAATATACCACGTATAGGAGTAACAGAAAATAGTAGATGGTGAATTTATTGAGGCGACTTCAGTACAGACGCTCAAGAATAAAAAGCTAAGTCCACAGCAAACTGTTCTATATAGCAGCCATGTTGTCTGATGAAAATGGACATAGTGAATGTCAAGCAGTGTAACTGGCTGATTCTGCTCCTAGCAATGTGTAGAAACTAGATACGCAAATGTCATTATCATCATGTAAGCCATATGCTTAAAAAAAGAAAATGAAGTTGCAGGTTGCACACATCAAATAGTATCCACTTTCAAATTACAGCAATAAACCTTTCAACCAACCATACTTTTTTCACCAACAAAATAGGACAAAATAATTATAATACATACAGAAAATTATGACAAAACAGAAAAATCTTAAGGTTACTCTTTCAGTTAATCTTCTAATTGATCTATTTTGTCTAGTCAATCCAAAAGAAAAACAAACAATTAAATTGAGATAAAGAGGGATGGAGTTGAGTTGATTGAAGCATGTATACAGTAAGCTCAATGGGGCATGGAGGGTTTGGTACAATGGAGGGTTGGGTACATAGAGATCTATGCATATGTCTCTATTATTGGGTGACTCAATCACTGACATCCATGTCGTCCTCTTCGCGATGATCGTCTCCATTGACTTTGGAAAACCCAGTGCCATTGCCTTCCACCGAGTGAGTAGACTGGGCTCCGGAGTCCTGGTCGGAATCCTTCTTGTCCAGCCTCTCCCTCTCCTTCTCACTGTCGTAGCCCTGCTCTTCCTCATCATAGTCTCTGGTGACCTGCAAAGACATCTAAGGAAATTTGAAATGACTAAGTTTACCATTTTGGAAACTCATTTCATATGACTTGTTATTCTTTCAAATACAGCGAGTAAACGCTAGATCTCTAACAGAGGTGAAAATACAGAAGGAAGAAAGCGGGAGTAAAAATCAACATGGACATCCTACACATCTTACATAACTTGTATAACATAAGACAAATCATTTTCAGTCATTGGTGCTGACCTTCACATCTCCTTTCTCTCCATCAGTTTTCTCCCTTTCTCTTTCCTTGTCTTTACACCTTTCTTTCTTTTCCTTCCGTTCATCCCGACTGCGGTCTTTATCGCTCCTGCGCTCACGGTCCTTCTCTCTTTCCTTGTCCCTCTTCTTCTCCTTCTTATGTCTGTAGGGAGAGGAGAGTTAAAAGCTTCTGAAACAAAGTCTCCAAATCCAAAGATAAGTGTAGTAGTAGACAGTCTAAAATGGCTTATTTCCAGGTTACTTTTTTAAAAAACTTGAAATTAAAATCTAAAAAAGTATTTATTTGATTGTTCTGAGGGCATTTACAGTTACACTTTGTAAACAAAATGTCTTATCAGTTTCAGTCTCAAAATAGCAATAAAATACTACTGACATTATATTGAAAATGTGTTGACTTAGGAAATTCTCGTTCTATGAGAATCACGAGGATCGAGATCACCAAAACACCAACCTTCTAGGAGAGGGAGTCCTGGAGACTTTCCTCTTGGGGGATTTCTTAGGAGATCGGCTGGCACTGCGACTCCTTCTCCGCCTTCTATACTCAACAGCATGAAACATTTTTGTAAATATCTGACCAATCAACAACATGTTGGGACAGCATGGTGAAACAGAGCCACAAGTCAGACATGTGGCTCTGACCAATGAAAGCTGCACTAACCGATCGATACTGCGAGACCTCCTGGCAGTACTGTAGCTTTTCGGAGGTGTTTTAGAGCGCTTTTTATCCCGCTCCTCTTTCTTCCTATCCCTGTGGATCAGAGACACAAGTTAGTTACATCTGATCAATATTTGTTATTGTATATATTGGGATTAGAGTTGTGATTAGGAGGTAGACAGTAATCGCAGGGCTGTCTCGGAAGTTCTGATTGTGCAGCTTGAGGATTAAGAATGGGTCAAGTCTGTGCTCTGTGGCTCACCTGGATTTGCTTGGTGATGGTCTGCTCCTGTCTTTGGAGTGGGACCTCCCACTCCTCCTTCGGGGGCTCTTGGAGCGTCTCCTGCTCCTGGAGTGCGAGCGTCTCCTTGACCTGCTCTTTGAACGCCTGCAGATCACACAAACACAACATCAATCTCTACCCTCAATATGAAACATTTATTAAAAAATACGTACTCTATTTTTAACACAATCCAAATGATTTGTCAGAACAGAGTTTGTGTTCACCTGTGTCTGGAGCGAGAGCGGGACCTTCTGCGTCTAGACCTGGACCTGGAACGTGAGTGCTTCCTCTTGCTCTCCTTGTCTGCATAAACAAAACATTAAATTACTTTGGTACAGCAAATAATAGCTTTTAGCTAGGGCTACCAGTAATTTATCAGAGATGTAATGTGTCTTTTGGAGATGCAATGCTTTGACTACTCACTCCCAGGCTCGATGGCAGCAGAGATTAGTGACTGGGCCTCTCTGACCCTCTTCATGGCCTCTTCTATCTCTTTGTTGGAGGAGTCTGCCTTCAGGCCCGGATTCATGTTTATGTTCATGTTCATCCCTACACCCATGTGGTTCATTCTGAAGAAGAGGACATTATTTAGTGGTGATTATAAAGCGGGTAGTTTGGGTCCTAGATGCTGATAGGCATTCCAGCCGTGTGTATATCAGACCATATACTATGGGTATGACACAAAAGTACTTGTTTACTGTCATATTTATGTTGGTAACCGGTTTACAATAGCAATAAGGCACCCCGGGTTTGTGGTATATGGCCAATATACCACTGCTAAGGGCTGTATCTAGGCACTCCATGCATAAGAACAGCCCTTAGGCATGGTATATTGGCTCTATACCACACCTCCTCAGGCCTTATTGCTTAATTAGAACACACGGGATGCCAGCTAGTTTGATGTCTTGTAATGGTAATTTTCTAGAGGCATGATGACTTACTTTGGATCCACCTGCGACATAAACTTCAGAAGCTGGTCAGTAGGAAAAGACTGTGGGGAAGAAGTGTGAAATATATAATATACAAGTTAGAAATCTGATATAATTTAAACATCTCCCTTCAACACCAGCATTTGTGTGTACACACAAAAATATCACCAGATTTCAAGCCAACACTCACCTGGGGGTTCATATTCATATTGGGGTTTGGAAACCCGAACGCTGCCATCGCATCCATGGAGGGACCACCGAAAGGATTGCCACCCATCTAAAAAAACAACAGCACATCATTAACCCTTTCATTGTCGATATAGTCATTAAGACAGATGTTTAATTTTATTAACTTAAGGATCACAGAATTTAAATAGAACAATTACACATTGTATCTCTGTGCTGAGGACCTACCTGTGGATAGGACATGGGGTTTGGTGTTGGGAGAAGTCCTACCTGTGGATTAGACATGGGGTTTGGTGTTGGAAGGAGACCTCCCCCGGGCAGAATCCCTGCAACAGCATTTGCTGGCGCCAGCAGTGACAAAGCTTTAGCCTCCTCCGGGATAACACCTACAGAAAAACCAAACAGGCATTAGGGGAAGAAGGGAACGTCTACGTCTAGACTCTACTAAAAAGGAGACATTTTGAAAAACAAAACAAAAAAAACAAAGATGACTTGCTCAAGTATTCTTCAAACAAACATTTGTACAGGTTTCAATACTGTTACCTTTGATAGCTGCTAGATTTGAGAAGGTTTGTTCCCTTTATTCTTTTAATCATTGTAGATAGAACAATAACTAAGATTGGGAAACTAGTATATCACAATACACACTACTCCAGTGAACACTGCCAAGATTGTATCACCTGAACGTGTTTTTTAAGTCATGAACCAAACGTTAGCTAGCACAGCGGCTTCTCCAGTGGGGTGTGCTCTCAATTTTCATATAGATTGAACAAGCGACTCACGTTGGCGGCTTCACTACTAAGGAGCACACAGAGAAAAATCGAGATACACAAAACAAAAAGAGTTTCAGAGAGTTGGAGATCAACAGCGAATACTGCACAGTCTGACAGTTTCTACTACTTACCAGCAATACAGTAATAAGTAGAAAAATAACCTAGCTAGCATTAACATTTTGGGTAGGTGATATCTACGCTCCCCAATAACCTTACCTGTCACTGTATCAAATATGCAACAAATGAACCAATGCCTTTTGATTAAGTGTAAAATCAACTTGGCAACATTAGATTAGCTTGTTTGCCTAACATAGGGCTCAGAAAAAAAAAATATATACATATATATGGTTTCAGATCTCAATGTTGCCATTGCTACCTAAAAAAGAAAACATACAATATCTTAATCAAGACACAATGGCAAAAGTAACATTTTTTACAGAAGACACACACACATACATACATACACACACACACACACACAAACAAACATTTAAAAAGGGCACATGGGGGAGAGAATTTAGCTGCAGGAGACAAAACGGTTGGGTGGTATTTTCAGCGGGGCCTGGTATACAGGACTGGCTGAGCCAGGAAAAATAACTGTAAAACACAACAACAAAAAAGAAAGACCACTGTTAAAGAGAGAGCACTGAACCAGTTGCCATTGCCATGTGGGGTGGATATCTTAACAACTAGATACAGTCAGGAACCTTAAAGTACAGTATCACTGGTCAACATTGAAAACACACAGACTAGCTATTTGAATATGCCAATTTCAGGGACAGCGTGGTAAGTGAGTGCATGTAATTTTTGCTCAATTTAAATTGGATACTATATTGGTCACCCAATTCCCAAAACCAGGAAGTGCCTTAACGCTAAAGGTGAAAAAAGTAGGAAATGTAGGTATACCAATAGCTGTGTTATTGAGATGTGTATACTTTACTGTTCAGTTATTCTGCTATGGTTTTCTTCTTACCACTTGGATAAAATGAGAAAACCAGATTGGACATTATACAGGTCAGATTATTAACACACCTATTTTGATAAATATGTACTTGTGAGCAGTCAAGTAAAATGTTGTGTAATACATGTGATATGCATTATAGCATTAACAGTAATATCTATGCTACCGCATTAAATGTAAACTAAAATACCCTAGAGAAGAGAAAATGAGAGAGAAAGAGAGAAGAAAAGACACAGGAAAAAAGAGAAAGAGAAGGGTCTGGGGGGGCTGCTTGAACGCTTGCTGGCCTTTTGTAAATGTCTACAATCCCCTGTTGGCAGGCAGAGGACCACTTTCAGCCATCAAGGAGGGGGCTCTGCTTTTGCCTTCTCCACTACAACAAATCACACACACAAATAACAGAGAGAAGTTTAGAGGATAGTCCAATATGGGGGAGAAAATAAAAAGCATGGTTAAGTTTTTATATACATGTAAGTTAATCTCAGCTTTCTTTTGAGGAGGTGCGTCTGTCTGCCCGTGGTCTGGGCTTGTTCAGCCCTCTCTTTCGGAGCAAGTCCCAGTCCCTAAAGCAGACCTTGGTATACTGTGCTTACTGGTGGAGGGGGTACAAAGAATTGGCTCTGGTGATTACTACAAGGATTAATAATGCATCATGGATGGCATTATGACCTTACAGTGTGGCAGAAGCTTTATACATGACATAATATGTGTATGGTTATAGGTTTGGTCTTTAGTTCCACAGTATATCAAGGGTCTGGGTTGAGAGAGCCGGTATAGACACCTCTCTCATTGCAATTAACAGAAGGATCGTACAAGATAGGACAAGGAGAGTGGCATGGCATCATTGATCACAGAATCAGATAGGCTTGTCAGATAAAAAATGGATACTATTCAATTCAATGGGCTTTATTGGCATGGGAAACATATGTTTACATTGCCAAAGCAAGTGAAATAAATATAATCTGAAATAGTTAGGATACATGCTTAATAGTGGTTAAAACCACAGGCTCATAGAACTCCATCCTGAAATCAATGGGGCGTCAGGCTTCACTCTCCCATCACTACGTCATACAATCCATACAATCAAGGATCATTCATACAGAAGCGGGAGAACAAAACACCAACCTTCGGCAAAAGGGACGACGATCAGCGCCCTGTCCACGAAGACGGTGTTGGTCAGATGTTGAGACACCCCCACCGACTCTGATTCTTGAAACTTCACAAAACACACACGCGACGTCACTGGCAGAGGCGATTCACTGCAATAAAAAACGTTTCTGTAGTTAACTAGTTAGTTCGCTAGCGACAGCATAGTCGATTGTATATAGCAAAACATCCCCGAAGTATCTAACCAACCTATTGTTAGCCAACTAACATTAGTTAATGTTTCGCCTTAGACCGCCAGAAATGGGGCCTCCTGATGCTAACGTTAGCATTGTTAATAATACTACATTGAAAAAAATCAAATCACAAACTGGTAGGAAGTGATTAACTAAATTAACAACTGTATCTAGCTAGCGACAACCGTTAAACAAATATGAAGCAGCTACTTACTCTGGTGGAAACAATTTGAGTTCTTCAATGGTTCCAAGAAACCCGAACAGCATTCGCATCTGCTCGGATGTTGTGCTTGGCGACACGTTCGTCACCTGCACTACCTTCGTTGTACAATTCATTTTTTCACAAAATAGTACAAACAAATATATATATAAACAATTACCTCTCTATTTCAGAATTATTTTCAGAAATATAGCCAATTAGTTGCTATCCTCGTCGAATGCGTTTTATAAACTCAAATAAACATCTCGATTCGTTTCGCCGCCATGTTGTCAGCGTGAATAGCCAAAAAAAAAGCGCATGCGCACTGTGAAAGTCCTGCAGCGATGTAGCTAGTACAGTCGCGGGCAAAAGTTTTGAGAATGCCACAATAATTGGTCTTCACAAAGTTTGCTGCTTCAGTGTTATATTTTTGTCAGATGTTACTATGGTATACTGAAGTATAATTACAAACATTTCATAAGTGTCAAAGGCTTTTATTGACAATTACATTAAGTTTATGCAAAGAGTCAATATTTGCAGTGTTGACCCTTCTTTTTCAAGACCTCTGCAATCTGCCCTGGCATGCTGTCAATTAACTTCTGGGCCACAACCTGACTGATGGCAGCCCATTCTTGCATAATCAATGCTTGGAGTTTGTCAGAATTTATGGGTTTTTGTTTGTCCACCTGCCTCTTGAGGATTGACCACAAGTTCTCAATGTGATTAAGGTCTGGGGAGTTTCCCGGCCATGGACCCAAAATGTCGATGTTTTGTTCCCCGAGCCACTTAGTTATCACGTTTTCCTTATGGCAAGGTGCTCCATCATGCTGGAAAAGGCATTGTTCGTCACCAAACTGGATGGTTGGGAGAAGTTGCTCTCAGAGGATGTGTTGATACCATTCTTTATTCATGGCTGTGTTCTTAGGCCAAATTGTGAGTGAGCCCACTCCCTTGGCTGAGAAGCAACCCCACACATGAATGGTCTCAGGATGCTTTACTGTTGGCATGACACAGGACTGATGGTAGCGCTCACCTTGTCTTCTCCGGACAAGCTTTTTTCCGGATGCCCCAAACAATCAGAAAGGGGATTCATCAGAGAAAATGACTTTACCCCAGTCCTCAGGAGTCCAATCCCTGTACCTTTTACAGAATATCAGTCTGTCCCTGATGTTTTTCCTGGAGAGAAGTGGCTTCCTCGCTGCCCTTCCAGGGTAGTGGGTTCGATCCCCGGGACCACCATAAAAATGTATGCACACATGACTGTAAGTCGCTTTGGATAAAAGCGTCTGCTAAATGGCATATTATATTATTATTATATATTATATTATTATTCTTGACACCAGGCCATCCTCCAAAAGTCTTCGCCTCACTGTGCGTGCAGATGCACTCACACCTGCCTGCTGCCATTCCTGAGCAAACTCTGCACTGGTGGTGCCCCGATCCCGCAGCTGAATCAACTTTAGGAGACGGTACTGGCGCTTGCTGGACCTTCTTGGGCGCCCTGAAGCCTTCTTCACAACAATTGAACCTCTCTCCTTGAAGTTCTTGATGATCCGAGAAATGGTTGATTTAGGTGCAATCTTATTAGCAGCAATATCCTTGCCTGTGAAGCCCTTTTTGTGCAAAGCAATGATGACAGCACGTGTTTCCTTGCAGGTAACCATGGTTAACAGAGGAAGAACAATGATTTCAAGCACCACCCTCCTTTTAAAGCTTCCAGTCTGTTATTCTAACTCAATCAGCATGACAGAGTGATCTCCAGCCTTGTCCTCGTCAACACTCTCACCTGTGTTAACGAGAGTCACTGACATGATGGCAGCTGGTCCTTTTGTGGCAGGGCTGAAATGCAGTGGAAATGTTTTTGGGGGTTTAAGTTCATTTTCATGGCAAAGAGGGACTTTGCAATTAATTGCAATTCATCTGATCACTCTTCATAACATTCTGGAGTATATGCAAATTGCCATCATAAAAACTGAGGCAGCAGACTTTGTGAAAATTAATATTTGTGTCATTGTCAAAACTTTTGACCACGACTGTAGAGATCTTCTTTGATTAGGTTTAACGGCGGTTGTCATCCAAGAAATGCTAGTAGAGGTCGCTCTCTCCCAGGAATCAAATGTGACATTTCTCACATTTCTGTGGCATGTAATAAACAGTGAATTTGATTTCTAGGCTCATTGAAATAGATGGTGTAACTCAGGCCAAGAGATATTTGATGTTTACCCCCCTGTTCAGATGCTAATCATAATCAATATGCTCTCACAGAAGTGAAACAAGCAAGCAAGAGCAATTGTTGCTCCGCTGTCTGGTCCTTACTGTCTTTCAGTCATGTTCCCCAGCTCCACTCTGCTCCACCAAAGTGGCTCCCATGTTGCACACCATGTCTCTCAGCTCCTTCAGCTCAGTCCAGATCTCAGGGGTGGTGGTAGTCTGGCCTCTCGTCCGTTTGTGAATCCTTTTTGGAGGTCATTTCTATCTGACGCTATAAAAGGCTGTGGGAGTACACAACCTGTTATTCAGCCGAAGGTCGCTCTTTATTTATGTCACATGACCTCAACCAAGCGATCTTATAAGACATATGTGTGTTTACAGTCTGTACTGTGTGTTATTTGTGAATACATTATGTTGCCTTCATATCTGATTCAGTCTCGCACACACAGACAGAGACGTTAGTTGTAGTCCAGTCACTAATTAACTACAAGATTGCTGAAAAACACTATGACAGGGGGAGAGTAGTTTGATAGTAAAAGTGTATGGGGGGGTATAGTAATTAAAGTCTAATAGTAACTATCAGGAGAGAGTTTGATAGTAAAAGGTTTTGGGTTCGATTCCCATGGGGGGCCAGTATGAAAAATGTATGCACTCACTCTGGATAAGAGCGTCTGCTAAATGACATAAATATAAATGTAATGTAAAAGTGCTTGTTTATTTAAAGAGAGTAAAAGTGTGGGGGGAGAGTAGTCTGAATTGGGTTCTGGAGGTATACTCCAACTCACACATCGCACTCATATGCCAGCCATGAGTGTTTCCAAGCCAGTGAGGTCACATCCACCAGTAGTGCTGGAGAGCTGCACTAGCTGGTTTCTTATGTGAAGACAACTCACAATGGCCCACATTCTCTGTGCACTCACTCACCCAGATCAGGTGATACCCTGCTAGGGCAGTGATTGGCTCTTGTCTCAGACCTTCCCCAAGGTGATTGGTTGAGTGACTAGCACTCTGCACGTGACCTCTACAATGAGCTTCCACCCACAATAGTAGAGAAGAGTGGGTGTTATTATATAGTGTGACATCAGCCCCGACAATCTCTATTACGGTTTTATAAGTACGTTTAAAATGACCTTTTATAACGAACCATGAGTATAGTATATATTTTTCATATATATTATTTCTATTAAAAATCCCACCTACGTACAGTTGTCTGTGTTTGTTTTTGTTCCTACAGCAGAATCAGACAAACTAGAGTGAAGCATCCTGGGAATATGCAAATCAGGACAGCTATGATTGGTCAGTAAAGGGATAGTTCGGGAATTTTGGCAATGAGGTCCTTTATCTACTTCCCCAAAATCAGATGAGCTCGTGGATACCACTCGTGGATGTAATTTATGCTCATCCCATTTCAATCCAGTAGATTGAAGCAGTGTATTATAAGAAAATAATGTGGTAGTCTTAGTAAAAATCATACAAAAGAGGCTTTTTAAAATGTTCTTGCTTTTTAAAATGTTTATTTATTGGTTAAGAATAATAAAGGATAATTTGGGGCTTTAACCCCAGAACTACTCCCATCAGAAATAATATGAAGCCAACTTCATAAAATTGTTAGGTGGATAGTAGTATTGGCCAATTTAAGCAATAAGGCCCGAGGGGGTGTGACATATGGCCAATATACCCTGGCTAAGAGCTGTTCTTAAACATGACGCAACGCGGAGTGCCTGGATACAGCCCTTAGCCGTGGTATATTGGCCATATACCACAAACCCCCGAGGTGCCTTATTGCTGTTATAAACTGGTTACCAACGTAATTAGAGCAGTAAAAATACATGTTTTGTCATACCTTGTAGAATAATAGTGAAGACATCAAACTATGAAATAACACATATGGAATCATGTAGTAACCAAAAAAGTGTTAAACAAATCAAAATATATTTTATATTTTAGATTCTTCAAATAGCCAGAGAACGCCAAGAGTGTGCAAAGCTGTAATCAAGGCAACGGGTGGCTATTTGAAGAATCTCAAATATAAAATATATTTAGATTTGTTTAACACTTTTTTGGTTACTACATGATACCATATCTGTTATTTCATAGTTTTGATGTCTTCACTATTTCTACAATGTAAAAAATAGTAAAAATAAAGAAAACCCTGGAATGAGTAGGTGTGTCCAACCTTTTGACTGGTACTGTATATATTTATAAATTGGGTGGTTCGTGCCCTGAATGCTGATTGGCTGACAGCCAATATACCGGCCGTATACCATGGGTATGACAAGACATTTATTTTTACTGCTCTAATTACGTTGGTAACCAGTTTATAACAGCAATAAGGCACCTCTGGGGTTTGTGGTATATGGCCAATATACCACGGCTAAGAGCTGTATCCAGGCACTCCACGTTGCGTCGTGCTTAAGAACAGCTCTTAGCCATGGTATATTGGCCATATGCCACACCCCCTGCTTGGTTTTCACGTCCACACTTCCAACATCTTTCATTTGTCTTGATCCAGGATTCTTTCTGTTCTTTGGAAAGGAGCTGAAAGTTGGTGCATTGATTCATGTAATGCTGCGTGGTGTTGCAGAACGGACAATACTTCTTTGGTTTCTCCCGTGAGCTTTCCTCCGGAGACTGGTTCTGTGCAGAGAGTTCGGCTTCGTCCTTTCTCTGCTCAACTCCATGGAGGATGGTGATGGTCTTGGGGAAGGATTTGTCTTTACGCTGATCTCGGCGTGAGCTAGGGTGGTCCCTGCTTTGGTCGCTACTGAACTGCGTGCCTTCTACTTGCACTCTCACCTCTTACTCGAGTCACTCTGCCAGGTGAAGGAGGGTTGGAATGGGTGTCTTGATGGGGTTCACACATCTCTTGAAGCTGGCTCTTAGGTCTTGTGGTAACTTAGCTAAGTGGCGGAAGAAGTATGAGCCA